TTTTGACTTTTTTCTTTTTCGACCCCACTTTTTCACGTGAATATCACGTGAAAGTCACGTGAAAAGGCAAATCGTTCTATTTTACGGAATCATTCTAGTAATAGAATCATTCCACGACGTTGGAATGCACCAAGCTGATTCCCCTGTTTTCGTCAGGTGGAATGATTTTACTAAGTGCAATAGTTTTAGGTTTACGGAATGATTCCCTCAAACCCCCTTCCTCCGCTATGGTATCTACCTGATCCTAATAGCTCAGCTGCTTCACCTGGTTAGGGTGTCTTTTAGAGTCGATCGCGTGAACGAGAATGGCAAGGAAAACATGCAGAGGACAATTGCCTAAAATTACCTGATAAAGAAAGTGGTCTGCTATATAATGATATTATTGGATACGTCTATCTGCATACTTATATTAAGTACTTTAAATATTTGACGTTTGCGACAGAAATTTGTGTGCGGATGAGTTCCGGCTGGCTGGTAGTAAAGAGCGGGATGCCTCAACTACCTCCTTGAGTAACTAAATCTTATATTTCAAGTCTGGGGAATTAATTTATTTCCGTTATCGATACTGTGAGTGTTACACTTACCGCCTTAGGTACATACTGCATCCATGCAGTATGCTAGGAGCCGAGGCTGGACGGCGCTGGATCCGAACAACTGCGGAACATTATGTACATAGGTACTTACCTCTTAGATACATAGGTACCTAAGTATAGATCTAACTTAACATTCAGGATAAATCAATATAGGGTAGCCTATTGAGTATACTATGTATAGCAAGGCATTTCATCATACTTATCATATGACTATTCGCTTACCAACTCGATCGGATATCGCTGAATCGAAATCTCGCGCTCAGATAAAATAACCACGCGACCTCACCCGTAAAAATTACTTTAGGGGGAAAGATGATATAAAAGCCCCATAAATCTTAAAGTTGGAACCCGGAGACGGCTACTCAAAATGTCATAGCTTAGATCTTAAAATTCGGTGTCAGCAGTTAGGTACATAGGTAGCTTATGCTTATGATAGGTTAGTATGTACCTCCTAACATAATAACTTAGTTTTGATAATAGCTTATCAGTTCTTCTCGTACCGACTATGTAATGCTGATTCATGTACCTACATAATGTGGCAAAAAGGAATGCCGCGATTGATACCAATTCGAAAGTTGGACAAGATTTGGAATTTTGCCGAAAACAAGATCACGCCTATGCAAGCCTCACCGGCTGGGCAAAAGCTTGATGAATCAATGAAAAGAAACCGTTCAGCTTGGCTTGAAAGCTTGATTGAAAGCTGATGGACTTTTGCCGTCTTTGGCGAAAGATAGCGTATCATGGCGTATCATGGCATACATTAGATACCTAGTATCATGGCATCGAATGCTTCGGTTCAGCTTCCATGCAGTCTTCCTCCCCCCGTCCCCTCCCCATCCCCCCATGTAATCTCATCCATCCATCTCATGCAGTTTTATCCCTGCCAAGCCCGCCCAATTGAAGCTTTGGACCCTTTGTCAACCCGTGCCAACCCGCGTAACTCACGCATAACATATTAATTATCTTACAGTTTCTTGCTAATATGTCCCAAACGATTGGGTGTTAGGTACTACACAGTAGGACCGCGATACAACGTAACAGTTCCCCCCAGTCAGCTAATAAAGTCGCAAGGGCTGGTTGCAGATAATCACCTTCCCATTCCGGCAGAGAGATTTCCAGAATTACGAGCATCTTCCCCCAGCCGTGCTTAAACGGATGTAACTCGGTGAGATATACGCTAGCTCGCTAGACCCAATCTGATTTCTTTCACGACTCGGCCGGCCACGAGAGGCTTTTTTTGGAGACCGTCCCTGTGGAAAGACAAAAGACACCGGGGACAGGGGTAACCCAAACAAAACCCCATCGCTAGACCCGCATGGGTGACACCAAGATAACGACTCTATCCGTTCTTACTGGTTGCCACTCCATGCTCGAGACCAAGACAGGTAGAGATACGGAAAGTCCGACGATATGGTCTGGTCCGTCGCTAGTGAAAGTAGTTCTAAGAACCTGTAAGATCCTCTCATCTTTCGCCTCTCGAGCCTCGCCGCACGCCGAGAACCATCTATAGCATGGTTATTACTTGATACGAGGCTCACCTGGAGACCCGATTCAGTAGGTTAGATACCTCTCGGTAGTATTTATCCATGTCAAACCCCATACATGCTTAGCACGCATCTAGTACGCACGTACATAGTTCCCGATATTGCGGGCCATCCTGGGCTTTTTTAACATAAATCCCACCGTCCCCTTCGATTTTTTGCTTTCTCTGTTTTCTAGTATCGCATCCAACCTGCGTAACTGCGAACCGTCTAGAGACAGGGATTAACGATGGGTATGTTCAACACCAAGAGACGTGACGACGACGACGACGACGACGTCGTGGTTTAACTTTTTTGAGCGCTTGCTGACATGCCCCAGGTAACCCAGTAGATCCCGTCGAGCGTGCCTCGGGCACTAGCTCGCCTATCGACGAGGAAAAGATGTCCAAGACGCCTCCGGGTGATTCTCACAACCCGTATCTTAACCCCTCTATAATGGAGGCGGATTATGAGGGCAAACCGACAGAGGAGGAAATGAGGACTCTGCGCCGAGTTCCCGGCAGCCTACCCGTTGTCGCCTACCTAATCTGCATAGTAGAGTTCTGTGAAAGAGCTTCTTACTATGGTATTCAGCCCCTAATTAGCAACTACGTTAACCGACCTCTACCGGAAAATGGAAACGGATTCGGAGCTCCTCCGCAGGGGACCCAGCAGACGGCCGGCGCTCTAGGGCTCGGAACCGTCACGGCAAACGCTGTTACTCAGTCCTTCAGCATGTTGGCATATGCGCTACCTATGCTTTTCGGCTGGCTCGCCGACGTGAAGACTGGACGTTTCGCCCTTATCTGCTGGGGTGTCGTGGTATTCGGTGTTGCTCACGTCTTGATGGTTGCCGCAGGTGCCAAAGACCTTTTAGCAGCCGGCACGGCTAAGGTTCCCTACTTCCTTTCCGTGTATATCCTAGCGATTGGTGCTGGTAAGTCTCTGTCATGGTGCATTTATATGGAACAGTTAAGACTAACATGCTTTTCTAAGCTATGTTTAAGCCTAACGTCTCTCCCCTTTTACTGGATCAAATGACCACGACCGTCCCTAAGGTCATGACGCTAGCCTCTGGCGAGCGTGTGATCCAAGACCCCGAGTCCACTACCGAACGAGTTATGCTTTGGTTTTACCTTCTGATCAATATCGGTGGTTTCATGGGAGTTGCCACATCATACTCGGAGAAGTACGTGGGATGGTGGCTTGCATTCCTCATCCCTCTTCTGCTCTACCTTCCCCTCCCGATCCTTCTCTGGTTCCTCTACAAGCGATTGATCCTCCATCCTCCGGGCGGAAGCGATCTTGGTAACGTTTTCCGAGTCCTTGGCATCTGCTTCCGCCGTGGTGGTTTCAGGAAGCTTGGTCGCTCCGGTTTCTGGGACTTGGCTAAGCCGTCGCGCCTCGAAGCTGCAGGCCTCAACTACAAGACCGACTGGAACGATGAATTTGTTGACGATGTGCGACGAACGTTCCAGGCCACCGGTATCTTCTGCTTTTTCCCGATCCAATATATTAACGATAACGGTCTCGGTGCCGCTGCTAGTTTCTTGTCAACCATGCTGACGACCAACGGTGTTCCTAACGACGTTATTAACAATTTCAACTCGCTTAGTATCATTGCCATGGCGCCGGTTTTGAACTACGGTTTATATCCTCTTCTACGGAAGCTAAACATTCACTATGGCCCCGTTGCCCGTATTACCACTGGTCTCGCCATGTCGTCGGTGGGTGGTGCTGGCTATGCCATCTTGAACTACTACGCGTATCAGCAGTCTCCCTGCGGCGAGTACGGTTCTAGCAACTGTCTCGACGGTGAGGGTGTAGCCCCCATCAGCATTTGGTGGATGGCTATCCCATTTGCTATTGGTGGTATTTCGGAGCTGTTCGTCAACGTGCCCGCCTACGGTATCGCATATTCGCGTGCTCCTGTTAACATGCGTGGTCTGGTGTCTGCTCTTAACTTGTTTAACACGGCTGTGGCCTACGCTATCGGCTTAGCTTGTTCTTCCGTCATTACCGACCCGTACTTGACGTGGGATTTCGGTGGCCCGGCCATTGCCGGTGGTGTCCTCACCATCATCTTCTATTTCACTTTCCGACACATCGACAAGGAAGAGTATGTTCTTAGCCAGAACAAGGACTACCACCTTAAGCTCGAGGGTACCGTTAGCGTTGTCGGCGAGAACGAGCTGAACAAGTCCGTTAACCGCCCCGCGCCCATTGCCGAAAATGAGGAGATGATGATCTCGCAAAAGCAATAAGCCTTTCTATTTTGGATGTTTCTCTATTAACGTGCATGTTATATGTGTATTATGAGTTACTGGTGTCGATGTCTGGCCGGCGGGTGCCGTTGAAAAAGGAAGCATAATGGCGGGCTACTATGTCTTTGGCGTCTGTAATAACTTCTGGCTTTGCTCTTAGATGAGAGTATAGTTACAGACGGCTATGATATTAAATATAATATACTATTGATACCACATTTCTGTTAAGCATTTTCTATTACTGGTGAATGTTCCTGCATACCTAGGCTATAGGCCCAACTAAGAATGCAACTAAAGACAATACATCGAAGTATATCCTTGACCTTGGTCTAGTGCAGCTACATTACAGATGTTACAACACACTTATAACCCGATGTCTTGTTTCATTCAGCTCCTCGCCGTTTCTTGTTTGAGCAAACTACAATTATGGAACACTTTCGGCAGGTTTCGTACGATTCCTCGAATATAATTCCTGATACATAACCTGCAATTATAGAGGTTATGGTGTAGAGCATGTGCCATCGTATTTGAACAAACAAAATGCTGACATGCTTGAATATATACAGAGCATTCATAACCCTTTACACAATTCACCCGCTCCCATCAACCTGGATGGCGCGCACTTAGGTGCACTCCACGAAGTTATTACCGCTTGCTCCGGTGTGCGTAATAGCACCTTGGTAGTCGCCACCCTCATTGAAAACGACACGGTCTGCACCAGGGCTACCTCCATTATAAGGATCGAAGCTGCTTAGGATAGGGAATTCATAGTAAGGGGCCTGCCCGGGGAAGTCAAAACCCTCGCGGTTATTGTACTGGTGGGGATAGTCGTTTGAACCTGTTATATGGGAATAGGGGTGTTAGGTATATAAGACGTATAGTTATAATAAATGGTAAATAAGTATCTAACGTACCAACAGTCTTGCCGGATTGGTGTAAAGAATAACCCTGCTTTACGGCTTCGTCGATGTCTTCCTGCCAGTAGCAAATCTTGCCGCACGTAGCTACGCAAGTCTGATCTTGTCTTACAGCGACCTTCTCTACTGCGAGGGCCGATACGTTTACGATAGCCAGGAAAATGGCAGGGAGGATCTAATAGATAATGCATATAAGCGATCCTGCCTAATACGATACATGAGGGATTCGGGCAGTAACTCATTGCCGTAGACATACCTTAGAGCCAAACATGACGGGCGGCAATAGAGTGCAACTTGATCGGTGGAGAGACGGAGATGGTAACAATTTTGGCCTGCAGAGCTAAGAGCAAATGCTAGTGACATGTCGATGGTAGCATCTTGCCTACTACTTATAACGGAGACCAAGCGATGCACATGAGCTCAGGTCAGCGTGCGAATATCCAACCCAAGACCTTTGGCGTGAGAAATGGGTCAAATCATTGGATAAGAGACCCCATCTGAGATTCTTCATGCAACAATTCGGTATTACTAGCCCTGCGCGACATCGAACAAGACCGCTCAGCATGGATGGGAAACGGGTTGCGTAGCGTAGATCCAAACGTATCGTGACAGGGGGGTGTATACCTGCCTTCCCCTTTCGGATCTCATACGCCTGATAGGAAAGTAGATATATGCTAGATATATGCCATATCTCCTTCGCACTACCGTTAGCAAGACCGAGCAAGCGAGCTTATTTCCTCAGCTGGATCTCTCTATGTATGTACGAAAGCCCTCCTCCCCCCCAGTCCGGGATGAGAGACATGGTAAATATGAAAGGGGAAAACGGGACCGCAGGTGGTCGCGTCGGTGCGGCACGACGACGGGTTCAGCAGCGTGATTGGGCGGATAGCTCAGCTCACCAGGCGGCAGATCGACAATGCTGCACGGGCATCACCTGCCTATCACCGCAAGATCTACCGCCCTACCTTCGTTAGTGAGCCGTTGCAATCGTATCACCACGAGCTAACACGTAGCGCAACTTGGCCTGCGACCTGTCTAACCTACCTACAGATACCGAACACTACCTATGTACTGGGAATAGTAGGCTTCGATCTTGGATTGGCGAGGGTTAAAGGGTTGCAATCGCTACGTTTCGCATCTGCGGGCACTAGCATCGAAATATCTGGGCATCTTTAGGCGCGGATTACTTCGTCAAAGGACCAATGCTCATCGACATGATTTATTCCCAGAGTTAAATAAGCAATAACGCAGCCTGGTTCTTTTTCCCTCTTTTATTTTTTGAATCATTTCCCTCTCAATACATTAGCAGAGACACGTAGCAGATGTTAGAGAACTTCGTGATTGAAGTTATGTCAGACGACTTCCAAGAATGAGAGTTATTACTAGCTCTCACTTCTAGGAATATCATGTTACTCGGTCAGAGTATTGGCTTGCTTATGTGCTAAGTCGGCTACTCTCAAATTGGAGAGGACCGCCGTATGAAGCATGAGGCATGACGGTTGTTTCAGAGTCGTACGAACCAAGAACTTCATATAATATCTTGACTCTTACTATTACAAAAATTAACAAAGGTAAGTATTCCCTCTTTCTAGTAATACTAGATTTGAAATGGGCGATTAGTCGTAATTATTTAACCAACCAGTTCAGTCTTTAGATATTGTTAGGATGTAAGTTGGAACCGAGGTACGAATGTAAAGACTCCTAGGTTATGGTTATAAGATAACAAAGGAAGTTTAGCGGAGCCATCCACTGTCATGTGTCCCATAGCTGTAGCTTACGGGAAAGCGTGGGGTTTGATAACTTGATAACTTGAATCCCTCCGCGTACAAATTCTCAGCGGCTTCAACAAGTGGTAATCGGACCAGATTCAAGTGCTAGAGTCCATGGAGAATAGTTGCATTCCAGCTTTTCAGCCCTATACGGCGTTGCATTTAAACCGATTCACTGAAAAGCAAGGAAAATGTTACGCAATAAATAGCTTCCCCGCAAATCCTATCAAGACAAGCCATGATCACCCCCCTAGACTAGACGATCTAAGGCGGCGAATGATATCCGATGATGCTGAAAACACCTGGGAATTCAGCTTTATCACACCCAAGAATGGTAATTGGATGCGAAGATTCGGTCCGTAGCAATATTTCTTGTCAGCAAGCATGGCTCTAAAGAATTCTTACGTCCGATGCGGTGTGTTATTTCATAAGTTTAACACCCGCATTCTAGAGAGTCAGGTAACCTAGCGTTGTCTTCTCATCGATAGATCTGATCTCAATGAAAGTATTCTATCGGCAATGAAACTAGCTATTCCTCTAATATTAACCGCTCTTGGTGCCAAGGCAAAATGCGAAACCTTTGACTACGTGATCGCAGGCGCTGGTACGTGCGGACTTGTGTTAGCAAATCGATTATCAGAAGACCCGAATATCAAAGTCGCAGTTGTCGAACCGGGTGATGATGTTCGCAATAACCCTAATGTCACAGACGTTGGCGCGTTCCTCCGCGCCTTTAACACCGAGATCGATTGGCAATATGCTACGACGCCACAGCCGGGAGCTGATAATAAATCAATCCCTTTCCACGCTGGCAAGGCCATTGGAGGGACTAGTACAATCAATGGTAGGTCTAATACAGTCTGATCTCTTGGTCAAACTCGCTAATAGTATAGGTATGACTTACATCCGAGGCGACAAGGCTGAGTTTGACGCATGGGAATCTCTCGGGAACGACGGCTGGGATTGGGACATATTATATCCTTATTTCAAGCAGGTTGAACAGTTCTCTCCTCCCACTACAGCCCAGCAGGCCGCTGGCGCCACTTTCAATACAGAATATCATGGTAAGGATGGATTGGTGAAAACGGGGTTTCCATTCAGACTCCTTAACGGATCCTTCTACAAACTCGCTCAACAGGCTTGGGAAAGTTTGGGTTATCCCCTAAACCTAGATGTTAATGGTGGTGAAACACGCGGGTTTGATGTTTGGCCTCAGACATTAGACAGAGACGCAAACATTCGAGAAGACGCTGCTCGAGCGTTCTACTATCCCATTGAACAGAGACCTAACCTCAAGATCATTAAGGGGACAGTGATGAAGTTAAAATGGGCGAATTCATTAACATATAACAACGCGCTCTTAGCAGATGGTGTTGAATACCTGGATCCTACCGGCCAAACGGTCGTTATAAGCGCAGCGAAAGAAGTCATACTGTCCGCCGGGTCTTTAAGAAGCCCTCTAATCCTTGAACGCTCAGGTGTTGGAAATCCAAGGTAGGTTGAAGCGTTAGCCAACCACATACACGTATTAACGTAGTTAGTATCCTTAAAGGGCACGGCATAGAAACAAAGATCAACCTCCCCGGAGTGGGGGAGCATTTACAGGACCAGCCCAACGTGGCCCTCGAGTATACCTCAAATATCAATATGACAGGAACTGTGCCATATGCGACATTTGCCACAGCCCAAGACTTATTCGGCAAACAGACTTCTGCAGTAGCAGAGACGACATATACGAAGCTATCTGAATGGGCCCAAAAGGTCTCAGATGTTAACAATAGAGCCATTGATGCTCACCAATTAGAAAAGATATTCCGCATACAACACGATCTAATCTTCAAGGACAATGTTACAATTGCTGAAACCATAACCTCGGCTTCCGGCAATGTCCTCATTTCTGCATTTTGGCCTTTGTTGCCTTTCTCTCGAGGTAGTGTCCACCTCAAATCAATCGAGGCCAACGATCCCGCAATTGACCCGGAGTACTTCTTAATCGATTTCGATCTCACCATCCAAACCGAGCTCGGACGGCTCTCGCAAGATTTCTGGTATACAGACCCGATCAGCGATGTTGTAGTTGGCAGCTTCGTCCCTGGGGACGAAGCACTGCCTCGCAATGCTACTGACGCTCAATGGGCAACTTTCATCGCAAGCACTGGTAAGAATATCGCATTCCAGTGGTGCCAAACTGACCCGCACTTAATAGTAACTCCTAATCACCATCCTATCGGGTCGGCCTCGATGATGTCCCGCGAGCTCGGAGGAGTCGTTGACCCTAAGTTCAAGGTATACGGAACATCTAACGTTCGTGTGGTCGACGCGTCTGTGCTGCCAATGCAGATTAGCGGTCATTTAACTGCTACGCTTTACGCCATATCCGAGAGGGCAGCTGGATTTATTAAAAGTCCATAGCATAGATTATTTGCTGATGCCTACTTCATTCTCAAGCAAGACGTATCAACCACACTACCGATAACTCCGAGAACATCTGTATCTAAATATTAGAAAATCATACAGCCAACCCTGGGTGATGTCTGGCCCCCAATTGAAACGGTAATGTGACGGTCTAGATAGCCCCTGATTTCTCCAACCGGCATAAAGCTAGGGATCTAAATGCATGGTAATTTATATTCACGTAATACAAGACCAGACATAAGTTCCTAATTGGCTTGAACATGGTGAAAGTCTTAGACAAGAGCTACCCGAAGCTCCGAGCGCTCCCTTCAGAAGCCTCCTTGACATTTATGATGGTTGGATAAATACGCTATTTTAAGATACCACGTTTGTTAAATCTAGTTACAACTTTATCCCATCCCTGACTACAGACAGCGATCGCATGCCTTCTGAGAAAGCAAGAAATAATATACCCGAGCCGGTCGAGATTTAACAAGATGGAAGAACACAGTCTCATACAGGCATATCAGCTCATCTCAACAACATCGACAGCTAGTATTTAGACAGAGATAACAATAGCTATGATGGGACTAGCTAATCGTAGACAGCGTAGATGGTAGTGCCGAAAGCACATCTTTGCGACTCTAGTAGGACCCGGTGCTTCTACATACATACAAATCTTAAGAATCACCCGCGAGATACTCAGATCCAGGCGAAGGCAACCAATATCTAAGCTGTCAAGAGTCAGATACGCCGTAAATTTCTAAAGATGTTATTGAGATCGCCGGGCTAGTATATCGTGTGCACACTTTATTTTATTGTCGCGGCGTGACACATGAAGAGAAATGATTGAGAAATCAACCATGTTGGCACAGAATGAACTACGATCATAAGTAGTCTCGGATCATAAAATGTAAAATTGATTGAGCTAAACATATACAAAAGCTCCGTGGTATCACCCCTTTACTCCCTGATTTGCAAGCTGTATAGGTACTTCCAAATTCAACATCATTCGCTCCCCGGTCTTATGCACATCCTAAAACGCCGTACCCAAGAACCCAAAATGCATCATAAACTCATAAATATTCAAAGTAATAAAATGCAAGAATGTTCTTCCTTAAAAAAGACGCATGGCAACTGCTCCTCTCAATCATAAACACACTCCATAGTCTTGTACCAAAATTCAAATTTAGCACCTCGTCATCGTTGGCTAAGGGGTCTCGATAGAGGAGATACCCCTTTTCCACGAAGGTATGTATGGTTTAATACTGGGCGAAGAGATTTGCACTTTGATGTGAGCTAATATGTAGTAGCGGTATATATTCGTATAAAACGATTACCCAATATTCGGTTTTGTAAAAGAAGTCCGAATGGAGTACCGAGAAGTACTTGTTCGTTTCAGAGCTATATCATTTATAGCAGGGGGCGAGATTGTGAATCGGACATTTTAAATTCATTTCGAGGTCGTTTGGTCAGCCAAGTACTCTCGGATATAAACCCGGAGAAGACGGACCCGAACCCTCCCGATTATAACGGTGACTCTATGGTGACCCACAGTAAGTGTGGTGGCTGGGTTGCCTGCTAGGACTTTCTTCGGAATTCCGAGGTCACACGATGCTCGCGAGGATGTGGCGCTTATACCTCGAGGCGCATCTCACGTGTGAATAACTTGGCTTCGGTCGACCTTTTCCCCCATCTTCGGCACTGGCATTGGTAGCGGTGGCGGTAGCGGTAGCGAGTCCCCTAGACAGCACTGTTCCTAGCTTGCCTCTGCTCTCTCGTCATAAGAATGATTCCAACACCGATGAAGAGCACCGCTAGAACGCATACCGCCGGAACAAGAGCGGCAGCATAAGTCCTTTGTAGTTCAGGCGAGACGCCGTTCCATGCTTTTGCCCATCCGGGGAGGGTAATCGTCTCGGTTTCTACTAGCCAGACGATGACAAATATAGCAAATACAGCAATAGCAAATATCGCCTGGAGGAAGCCGAGGAGCGAATGTCGAAAGGATGAAGGTTGTTGTCGTCTTATTTTGGCCATCTTCGTCTTCTCCGACCTTGATGGGGGAAGACTCTTTGGTCACATATTATACTCTCGAAGTGAGAAAAGGGTGGATACAAGCAAGCGAAATCAAAGGAAAGAAATCATATGTAGGGCTGAGCGGGGGGGCTTGGGGGGTCTTGGATAAGATCGAGTACATATGCACAAGTTGGCCGGAGCCCGAAGGCTGGCCGAGAAGCTGAGCGGTGGGTAGCTTCGGGATGTTCGGGCACTACGTGTTTGTCTTACTACGTAGGGCGGGTTTTTTATAAATGTGATTGGTTGATTCGACTTATAGGTGGTGTAGGACTTTTTTGTACCATTTCCATATATAGTACAAAGCCGTCGTAGGATGATACGGATCCGGGCTTAGACGTGGAACCTATTAGAATTCAAAACGGTTTACCCGGCATTTGTCATTCCTTTGATAATTTATTGACGCCATCAACATTCCGGTGGATGCCTTAAGGCGACGTGACCGAGATCATGAAAGTATGCCTTGCCTTTTTAATGTCCAGCCGTTTTTAAAACTATGAGTATTTTATAAAGTTAACTACCTCTTATCGATTTATATAGAACTGTAGGAAGTACTTAAAAGGATCTTGATAATAATTATTGATCAAAAATGGGAACACAAGCTCGGCAGTGATTGTATCCGGGCCCTCCGGCAAAGCAATTTATTAACTTCAGCCTCAATTCTGCGATATCAGTGTTTGATCTTATCTATCATTTTTTTTTCTTTCGCAAACTCTTTTCTTCTATCAATAAAACTCTTAAACTTTTATTTTATTTTTAAAAGCTCCAAATAGGCGTTATACAATAGCAAGACTTAAAAAGTCAAGGCACACTTACCTTATTGTTCAGGTGATGAGCGAATTAAATGTACATATTATTATGATGCCAGCATGTAACACCAGATCTACATTAATCCGTAGATTAGTGGAGAGGGATCCATTAGATTCCCGCTCGGTTAGCGGAGCACACAATTCCGAATCAGATCCTAGCGGTAAACATATACCCGTGACCTGAATTTACATCATCATCACATGTACGAAGTACTATTTTAAATTTAATTGATCGGCATTACCTAAAGTAGAGTTCCTAACAAAATTCTTATTGCCCCTGGTGCCCCAAAAAGAAAAATTCAAAATGGATAGCCCGTATTCTAAAGAGTTGAAAGTTGCAATTGCGGCTATCCAATCAGCAGCTAAACTTAGCCAGGCCGTGATCTCAGTTGAAGATAAAGGAGTCATTGAGAAAGATGATCTAAGTCCTGTCACGGTAGCCGACTTCGCCATTCAAGCATTATTGACCGCTACTATTCATCATGCTTTCCCTAACGATAAATTCGTCGGGGAGGAGTCAGCAGCAGATTTACGGGCCAACCCCGTTTTGTTAGACCGGGTTTGGATGTTGCTTCGAAGACTCGAGGACGATGAAGCAAAGTCTCTTTGTAAGCTACCAGAGACTCCCGACCAAATGTGCGAGATGATCGATTGGTGCGGCTTTGGAGAACCTGGCGGCTCGCAAGCAGGGCGAGTTTGGGTTTTTGATCCGATCGATGGCACAAAAACGTTTGTCCGACGCGAAGCATATGCGATAAATGTCGCGTTATTAGAAGGAAGCAGTCAAGTCCTTAGCGTCGTCGGTTGCCCTACCATTTCTGTCAATGCTATGGCCCCTATCACAAATACATCCGTAGACCCAACGGGGCGGGGATGCATCGTATTCGCCGTGAAAGGCCATGGCACCTACGCTCGCGCGTTAGTAGCGTCGTCGCCCGACGAAGCTCAAGTTCGTAGAATCGAGCCGCACGCTGAAGCCGAATCATCTCAGGCCTTGCGGCCGGTATCTTGCTATAACATGTTGGACTCGGGGGTAGACGACGTCCATCAACTGATTATGGACAGGCTAAATATTGAAAATAAAGGCTGTGACTTGCTCGCATGGGTTCTTCGATGGGTAACTCTTGGTATCGGGCTCGCAAATATGACCGTCTGGGTTTACAAGCAGAGAAGTAGGACGGGAAAAATATGGGATCACGCAGGAGCCAGTACGTACCTAATCAAATATCAAAGGTTCCCCTTTTCCCCCTTTCCCCTTTCTTAACCTATCCTTGAAATAAACATTCCTCCGCCTAGCTGTTTGAAAGGTCTTATCGATCCCAAGGCATACCTAGTCCCCCAAAATTCGTAACCAAAGAAGCAATCACTAACTCCAGCTGCCTAAAGTGCTCTTATTTGAAGAGGTTGGTGGTAAGATTACAGATATTGATGGGAAACCTATTGATCTTGGGGTGGGAAGGAAGATGAGCGCCAATCATGGTTTCGTTGCTGCCCCTAAGGCGCTTCATGCTACGGTTCTCGAAATCGTACAAAAGGTTCTACGTGAGCAGGGGAAAGGGCACTTACTTGGTTAAACTAACGACGGGCATGAACCATGGCTGTCAGGTTTATATATCCTCGAGGTGTCCAACGATGAAAGCTAGTGTTCACTAATATAGCTTATTCGGCTCACCGGCACGGATATTTGAGCATCCTTCGACACCACAAGCTCGTACTATCGCATTTTATCCTGTCGATTCCAAGAACGAGCGGTAGGTATAGACTTCTATAAGGTACCTAGGAAGTCATAAAGTTAAGATAAAGCATCTCGACGAGAAATAAAACATATTAACCGATACTTTCATAGTAAACAGCCCACATTGAGTAAACCTATCTCCAGCATAATATGTACCGAGTAAGATAAACGCAAGCTAAGCATGAATCTCCAGACTCTTTCAACCTATAGTGACATATAATGGACTCGGTACTTCGATTCAACTAAAGGGGTAGTATTTAATATTTTCATGCCACGTATGCTCTGAAAATTCGTTTGAATAAATTTGTCTCAATCCTATAATATACGTCGAGTAAAATGGACGAGAGAGTTCCCAGGAAAATAAAGACGGCTGCTAAGGCCATTTATGATATACGTTAGTCATGATAAAGGATAGATCAGTATCCATATGAGTGTATTAAGTACATTGTAAAATTAACCTAAGACATGAGAATCATACGGATTTAAAACAGTATATTACAAGGTAAATTAGATCACTAGAATATCCCATAATATAACACCAGGTATTTGCTAGATGGTCTAACTTTGAACAGTTGTAAATTTCCCATAAATACTCCAAGACTAACCAGGGACTGGCACCAGTTGCCCATTCTAAAGTGGCGCAGGAATACATAACAGGTTCTAATCGTAAAGCTCGTCATATTCGGCGACATGAGGCTGGTTGTTGTTGTTGTTGTTAGGATTTAACGGCGGTATCTTTTTTACTGCCGGTGGAACAGGGACTGGAGCCGGCGGAGGCATTTTTTTACCTACAGGGTGCTTGAACGGTGGTGGATCGGGAAAGTCAGGCGGAGCATGGAATTCCGGAGGGACATCCAAGAAATCATCGTCGTCTTCGTCATCGTCGGCAGGTCCGTCGAAAAGGTCCTCGTCGGGCTGCAAACCTAGGTCACCAAGAACTACTGGTAGCTCCCATGGTGGTATTTCTTCCATCTGTTCTACCAGTAGAGGTCGTGATTCAGGTGCATCGTATAGCATGAGCTGTAGGAAGGCTCTAACAGAGGCGTCCGTCTCACGGGCTACTCCGTTATAAAACGCCTCGGTCCTTGTCTGGACAGCATTTTCGACCAGCGGGAGTACATGCCGTAGGTTGACCATCAAGTTAGGGTCGTTGCTCATCCAGAACGCGACCATATTTTTGAAATCTAGGTCAATTCTCGGATTCTGATATAACAAGGTTGCAGTCGTCCAAATTCCATTCTCAAATGATGGATGCGCCAAAGATTGACTGAGAATATCATGGGTGTGGTCGTTCATGGCTAAGACGAAGAGTAACTGGGGGAAAAAAGTTAGTATATCACCTTTTATAATAAAGAGTACCTAAGGTATTCGCTTACTTTTCCCATCCCGAACAGATTTTCCTTTGGACCCCGATTATCCCCGGTTAAGTGTGCTTGCGAGAACCCGGCGAGTTTAAGAGGGGCCACGAGGTCATGTTCCGGGAAAGTGTCCGGGGCACCAAATATAAGATTCTTGCTATCGATACGCCCATGAACTAAGTCTCTGGGAGCGGCGTCACCCGGTGGGATGACTTCTAGTCTTGCTTCTGGAATTTCTCCCCTATTTCTAGCGTTGTGATCTTCCCGTGAAGGCCTCGCGTATGCCATTGCTACACATGCCCTCAACACTTTTGGGGGGGTTAGCATTCGAGAATTTGAATATTAGGATTTAAAAACAAAAAGGAAATAGGTGACATACTACAAAGGGCTATAGACCAGAGGACTCGATTCGGGACGGGAACCTGATGAGTAGTAATTCTATATAACAGCCTGTCCAGATTGCCATTCTCGAGATACTCCGATACCATATATGGGTAGTCGTTTAGCGCCGCCAAATTCAATTCCTTAACAACCCTTCTAGTAGTCATTTTACGATCTTCCCTTCCCCTTCTTAGCTGAGAAGGGATGTGAGGATCCCTAATTGCTTCCCTGGTTCTTACCCTGAGCTGTCGAAATAGTCGAGAAATCTCATCAGCCGCATTCTCGGCAGGGCCACCAGCTGGTGGATTGTCTGCATTTAGCGGAGGCGGGTATTCACATGTGATTAATGGGTTTAAGATGTGCTCTGCGGGGTGCATAGCCTACTGTGGTGTTAGCATAGCGAACTTTACAATCAAAATAATATAAACCTCGGACCTGAATTGTTTCGATCTCGTTCCTTAACGTTTCCTCGGCATCGTCGCTCAAGGCCCGTTTTATGGCTAGTCTGCGGTACCGAGTCTTAGTTACATGGCCTTCCTTAACTCCTAAGCGAACAACTATATTCCCTATACTGTAGCTTTCAAGTGCTTCATATTTCCATTTCGACACCACATTATTGAAGTTCAGCTTTAACTCGTTCAAATTTCTATGGATTTCGGTAGGTAAAAATAAATGATGCCTGTGCCCGGGCGGGAGAGCAGGGACGTTTGCATATTGCGGTTCTGCCATTCTTCAAGCTAGCGTTACTGTGTAAGTTGAAGGGTTGAGTAGGGTATCTAAATCGTAGCTTAGATCTCGGGGTAAAATACATAGGACGTTTCTAGATGAAATATGAAACAATAAACGCTTATGGTAGATATACGAATCTATAGGAAAAAGGATGGAATTGATACCTTCTCGCTTCCTAAGATAAAGCAAGACGTTTACGGTCAATTCGAACAAAGAATTAATAACCAATTCACGAGCCTCTGTTAATACCGTTGTCCTAAATGTAAAAGAGAATTATTTTATATCTGTTTTCGTCCGTGGAGGGTTATTCTAGTATGAAGACTTTTGGAGCTATATATATTTTTCTCGCGCTGTGGTTGTTGCCTCGCCATTTTACATACCAACCCGGTGATGGTGAGCATTTTCTAGATGAACAGCGGGCTTTATTTGTATATATACCTTAGTTGTATTATATTCAATCATCTTGAAACCAACATCTCTGGGTTGCGTTTCAAGTAGGCGGTCGTAAGAAGCTGTTTAATGGGCCTATCGGAACTATTTTGTTGAATTGGTGTAGTTTATCAAATCTTGTAAAGCCTTTGGGAATAATTAGAGATGTATCTAAATGTTACCTATATGTACCTATGTACCTGGTTACCTAAACATACATGTACCTAGGTACCTACGGGAAGCTGCCGTGTTGACCTCTAGCTTTAACCAATTAGAGGGCAGTATGATGGACTAACCGCCTAGCTTTTCTCCCGGCCAACCAAGCAAGAGGAAAGCTCGAACCACACTATCCCACCTACCCCTAGCTTGTAGCTTTTTAGAGCGGTCCTTGATTCAATCGTTTTGCGCCGCTGGGAACCGCGATAATATTCTTTCTTAGCCGTATTTCGTGCTCACATACAGACCACAGATCTAATTACTACATACTCTCGTTCAGAAACGCTAATCAATTCTTGTCTATCTTGCCATTCATTGATTTTATCTTGATCCATCTACGTCTCGTACTTCAATTGCTGAGCCGTAATCTACAATTTACAATCTATAATCCACGCTTGCAGCAGAACCAAAACATTCCTTGATCAGCATTAGTTACAGCGCATATACCTATCGCATATCCAAAAATATATCTGCCTGACCGCGAACATGGCAGAAGAATTTACTGAGGATGTCGTCGAGGAGCAGCAAGGCAATCCGGGCGCCGATGTCGAAATGGCCGAGGGTGACGAGGCTGAGGGAACTGTTGCTAGAAATAGTAGCGGAGACCTACCCTTCGTTGAGGGTGCTGATATCGAACCGCGTACTAGCTTCATAAATTATCTTACTAGTCCTGTCGTGACTCTGGTTGTCGGCAATGGCGAAACGGAGACTATCCTCGCTGCTCACCAAGCCCTCCTTACTCAAAGCCCTTTCTTCTCCGATGCCTGCGCGGCCTTCACTGACGATGGAAGCGTACGTCCCTCTAACACCATCCTGCTAGCTGTTATAACCCCCTATCTTATCATCTTCTAATACCTTTCCGTAGCCGCGACAAATAGAGCTCGCGACCGAGGAGCTAGACGCCGTCGGCTGTTTCCTAGAATTCCTCTACACCGGCGACTACTTCCCTAGGAAGCTTCCTGGCCAGCGACTACTAGAACAAGACCCGTCTATCCCTACCGTTGACGAGACCGGTGAGCAGCTCCTGAAGCATGCGCGCGTGTATACTCTGGCCGAGAAGTTCGGGATGGACAAGCTGAAGAGCCTCGCGAGCAGCAAGATTCACTGCGTAAACTCGACAGCCAAGGGGGAGATCACATATGCCCGCTACATTTACCAATATACCAACAAGGAAGATACGACGGTCCGCGCTCCCGTGGCCAACTTCTGGGCTACCCGCAGCCACACCCTACGTGCGGAGGCAGAGGAAGAATTCCGCTCGCTGTGCTTGGAATATCCTCAGTTCGGTTACGATGTGCTTAGTAAGTTTCCGAGTTGCTCAAATATCTGTACGAGGGAGATCGTGACCCTAACGCATTTTAGCTCGCGTGTTGGACGAGAAGCTCAAGCGGGAGCGGAACGACAAGCTGCATCCGGCAACAGGAAGTGGACGCAAGCGAGCCCGCCACAGCAACGTATAATTGTGCTTTTGTTTTTAATTGTAACTATTCATCCTTTTATTCCAGTTGAGACGGCACTGGAGTCGCGCGAATACTCTGGACTGCATGGTCGAAGCAACTTGCTTGTCTCCTTATACCATCGTATTAGTTTGAGAGGAGGCAAAAAGTTGGGGCCTTTTCGCATATTTGCTTTCAGTAGAGCCCGGGCAAGGTTATGGTGCTTACAGGCTCGATGGGAACAGGATGGGATTCTGTATTATAATAAAATACATTATAAACGTCACAAGAACTCTTGACGGTCCCTGACTTGTAATGAATGCAGCATAGATTATCCCTTACCTAAACACTACGATGCAGTTTTACACTAGAGGTGAACTTGGAGTATTAAGTTTTCAGCCGAAGCAAGGGCGGTGCTAACTATCAGTATTTTAATTTGATACTATCAAACTAGAATGCCATATTATATATTAGGCTACGAATGCAAAGGCAAACTCCCCCTTACGACTAGTCATAACCCTAATAAGGTAAACCTAGACGTTGTAAATCCCAAGTGTAACACGTTGGAACCCATCCGTGATGGAGGTTTATATACGTGGTGCTCCCATTATTTCCACCTTTTTGTTACGCCCAAAAAATTCTTCAGCTCCATCTATTAATCTATAGCTGCAAGGCACCGAACGCCGTTGCGGAGAAGAGCAGAGCTACGATTGTAAAACCTAGGGTGCTCACAGTAGTGTATTCGGGCCGGAGGCCAGCGGCGGCACCGGGAGATTCTGTCGAGCTCGGGCTGCTGTCGCTGTCGCCGCTCTGGGTCGGCTCCGAGCCGCCGCTATGCGTGACGACGATGCTAGCGCTGGCCGAGGTAGGCAGAGGCGCCCCCGTATCGGTGGCCGTAGCTGTGGTATTCTGGTTGCAGAAGATATTCCCAGGAGAGGCCCCCTTATTGCCTAGACACTTGGTAAGGTCGCCAACGGTCTGGCCCGCGGCGAGGCAGTAGAGTCCGCATCCGTCATAGTAGGAGACTACGTCGGCAGAACCACAGCACGCGCCCAAGATGTCGGTGTTGTTGCCCGTCGCGGGTAGCGCGCACGCAGCGTCTTGCACTGGGATGACGTAGAGTAGTGCGCCGCAACCCGAAGAGGACGGCGTAGGGGAAGGTGCAGAATCAGCCATTTTCGGTATTCGGGTTTGAAATGATTTCCGGAGCGGGCGTTGCGAGTGAGTACCTATATGATAGACTGCTTTTGAGAGTAACGAATGTTATTGTTATGTAATGTAATGTTGAGGTTACAATTTAGAATGAATCCTAAGAAATGTCTCGTGCATTCAGCTTTTGGGCTGAGAAAAGCTTTTAAATACGGGTTTGTTGTGAGACCATTCCCGGCCGCGCGAGTGGCCTGAGCTGAGCTGATTCGAGCCAACGCGATTTTTTATTCTCCATCTCGTATCCGGGGCCTGGAAAAAAACAACAAAGGCTTGTTAGATAGCTTGGCTCGACAACGATTAGTTAAGATGATGAAGACGATTGGACGACACGGCAATTGATGTCCGTGCACGACTCATCAAGTAAACCAAACGCATAGAATAATAATAATATACCTAACTAATAAATAATACGTTATAATAAGATTGTCCCCAAAATAGCAATTAGATATTATATTTCCATCAGTTTTATTATTTGTCTTGTCAGTTCTATTAGTTCTCCTAGCTGTGGGATTTCTTTACATAGCCTCTCCAACGCTACAGTAGCAGCACCGTTTGGGTTATATGTATGTTGTCATCCTCGCTATTCTCGTTATCCTTTAGGGGGTATATGGGAAGCCGGTTTTTTAACGGCGTATTCCATCGACGGTCGCAACCATATGTAAGAGAACGAGCTATCAATGATTGAGAATCCTTCGGAGGATTACGAAGTGATACATAAGCCACCATCTGCATCTCGAACATCCCCCAGAGGGTTACAGTAGATGGAAATTGCCCCTGAAATATATATTACTATTATTTTGTATGTAGGTACTCATACCACACGTGTTGTAGGCAACTGTGGCGTGGTGTCGTACAGAGTAATTCAGCTGAAGCTTCTGATGGTAAGTAAGGAATCACGCGGTCTTTCAGCGTTGTAGTCGTACAGAACCAGAGAGAAGCGCTGCTGCAGGTGAACCACGCAAGGTTATGCCAACTTTATGCTGACCTACCGGAGACCGGCATAATCAGTGTGGGGGTGGACCTGAGCTAGAAAGGTTATGTACCTACATGTAGGTAGGCACCTACCTAAGGTTTAGAAGTGTAAACGCTAAATGGGAACACCACGAGGTAGTGGATCCAGGGGCCGAAACGTCCAGCCCTATGCGTTACAACATGTATTTTCTTAACCTATCCTCATATCATTGGTTCAATATTTACAAAAGTTCCATTAGGTACCCTACCTAACATGTAGATGGTTTCCAAGTACCTCTCTACATTTTTCTTACATACATATACTAATCCCCAGGAGAAAAAAAAATAAGCGATGCGCGTCAAACTACGCCTTGTGTTACCCAAAGAATCCTTTTACAAGAAAGTATTTTCGACTATTCGGCCTCAACGGGAAGCTGAGCCGTTTGCCTGGGTATTGTTGTGTTATAGAAAATAGAATGTTTATTTATTACATTAACTTGGGTACACATACATTAAATTATACTTACCTCAATAAGTATTTTTTACTCTTTGGATAGCTTCGGAACAGAACAGAGACCCAACCCACTATCGACCTACTTTAGGTACCTAAGGTAGAATATCGTCGGCGGCCTAATATAACTTACCATCCCTTAAACAATCTAAACTACCTACCTAAGGTACGTTATTATACAGTAACTATCAATGATTGAGTTGATGATAGTAAGCGGGGCCGCGTTCGGTATATTAGCCAACGGTATCGGTATCGCGAGTATCCAACACCGGGGGGGCAGGGGTAACGTCGTAATGCAACCCTTTTACTGCAGATCTAGCGCACTCGTGATGTAGCAACGGGTCTAATCACTGACAGTTCACCCATTGGCTTATCTCGCTTTTCACTCGACTATTTTTGTCATGACCCTACCCGAGCGGAATTGGAGTTCACCTCCGACTCTGTTAAGATCTCCTGAAATGTGCCCGATTAAACGGGCACAGCCGCTTCTCTAATGAATGGCCACGCCTGGAACTTTATATGAACTACCACGCCTATTTTACATGTTTCATTATTGTGGCTATGCCTCTATATCATGGTATTCGTCTGGTTCAAAAAGTGCAACCCGGCACGTTCTAAAGTCGCAAACGTTTCCCCGCTTCGGCCCGCAAGACTACCAACTTGATTATATCTTGCATCATCATCTTAGGTAATTCACATATATAATAGCACATCATGGTTGGAGTAGCTGGTAGGAGTAAAGGCTGCAATACGTGTCGTAAGAGGAGAGTCAAGTGCGGTAAGAAAAACCCCTCTTTGTCGAATAGGTCTAATCTGATAAGTTTGTGTTATTGAACTTGAGAACAGATGAGGCAAAACCCCAATGCTACCGCTGCATCAAGGCAGGTTTCGAATGTCTAGGCTATCAGAGAGCTACGCAATGGCGACACACTTCTCTAGCTCCGGTTCCTGCATCTCGGTTGCATATGCCCGAGTTCGTAGGCGTTGTGCAGCCGGTGCCTGTAAGTTTCGCGCCGGTGCCGGAACTTAGTCTAGATGCCTTCGAAAGAGATATGTGTACTGCTCACATGTTTGGAAACTTCGTGTGGAGGTCATATGGAACTATTTGGCTCAGCCAAGCATCCGAGGGTAAACTCGGTGGCCTCTCTCTTGATGCTGTGACGGCCCTTTCTCAGTTGAGCTTCGGTTTAAATAATAGGATACAAGAACTTCAGCTCAAGGGAGCGGCTCAATACGGAAGATGTCTGAGGATCCTAGCAGAAGAGCTTCGCAGAGATAGCGCTGCAGGCTACGACAACCGAAGGCTAGTGGTACCTATACTCGTCCTGATGATGGTTTCGGTAAGTCGTCACCAAACCTAAGTTAAAGGCCTCTAATCTAATGATACTACCTAGGCGATTCAAACAGATAGAACTGCTGCGTTCTTTCATCTCAAAGCGATTGAGAAAGTATTAATGCTGTGCGGCCCAAGTGCTTTTCAGCAGCAGCCCTTAAGGAATGCATTCGAAGCTGCCAGGGCCACGCTAGTACGCGATTCAGTTTGACACCCACGAATTGAGTCGCTAACAGCTTATAGTTAACTGCCTCGCTATTTTCCAGGCGAAGAATATTCCTCGAAGATCCGTGCTGGCAAGACATACCATACGCATTAGACCCTTACGCAAAGCCCCAGCAGTCACGTCTCCTTGACATCTTAGTCGCCATACCAGGCTTGCTAGAAGAGAATGCCCACTTTGACAGCATGAGTTATTGTCCAGAGGACAACTCCACAACCCCTTCTCTCATCTCAGACAAGCGTTTGAGTTGCCAGGAGAATTTATGCGAATGTATCGCTGTTCAACTAGAGAAACTTTTCCGCTGGCGCTGGAACTGGCAACGCGAACATGGTCAATACGTCTCGGTAGACAAATGCGCGTGGCAATCAAATACCCCTTCTCCCACAAACTCGGAATTCAGTGGCAGTCCGAAAGAACTTGGTCGCCTGCGGTTCGATCGCTCTGCGCACGCCAATGATATCATGCTCTATAATTCTGCTCTGATGTGGTTGATGACTCTCCTATGGAAAGTCAGCCCGTTACAGGCGAAATCCATTATACAAGGATGCGCACGACATGCTGCTACCTCGTCAGCTCTGTCGCCAAAATCACCAGCGTTATCACATAACATATCGTTCGAGCCGTTAAATCAGCCCGGCGCCGCGTTTTCCATCCGAGACCCCGCCATCGAAATTTGTCGCGTTTTTGATTGGCAATGCCGACACCATGAGCAATGTAGCGCTCTCGATGACCAAGCTTGCCTATATTTATTTCCTCTAGGAATGGCCCGAAGCGTCTTGGATGCCGAGCCGCGCTATCAGAAGTGGATAGATGACATGCTGGATTCAAGCCCCGTTACCGCAGGCTATGGTAGACATGGCGGGAGCGTAGTTGGCTTTAGCTCGTATATCACAAGATGCGCTCTCAATCCCGACATCCGATGCTGAAGGAATACATCTGGGATCTAGGCGAAGGCATCAAGTAGAACGCCTTTACCTAGCATTATTAGCCGCTAGATTTTCATGATCTCACGATAAGAAAGATCTATAAGAGAGGCTTAGAGTAGTACCATACATCTTGGACTCATTTACGATAGTTAATGATAACGATGATGAGCATGGATTTATGTATAATCATTTCTAAGGTTAAAACCCCGTCCTTAGAAACTAAATCTATGCTAGATCGATCATGCTCATACATATGTTAAATGCGTATTATTCAAATATTCTCGTATACACCATGAGAAACCAAAGCCATAACACCGTGTCGCTTATAAAACACACCCCCATTAAGAAGCAAGCGCTTTGTTGGCATTAGCTATTGCGTATTCGACTGGTAAGGTACTTGGTACGGCTGCCCCGGAGCCGGTGTGCCTTGCGTGTTATAAGGGGCAGGCGTGCCCTGAGGGCTGTATGGCTGCGCAGGCTGACCAGTTTGCTGAGGGTATACGCCTGTCGTACCAGTATATCCGACGTTCTGCGATGCGTAGGGGTCATATGCCTGGCCCTGCTGGTACTGCGGTTGGCCGGCCTGAGGGGGGTATGCCCCTTGCTGGGTCCATTGCTGATTAGGTTGCTGGTGCAAGAGCGGTTGTGACTGGTTCGCCGCATAGTTCTGCGGTGGAATTCCTGATTGCAGCTCTGTAGCACCCTGTACACCAACGCCGGTATTATTTACCCCGGTGGCAGTGCCCGCAGCAGAGGCTTTCTCAGGGTCGCTGGTGGAAGCACCGGCAAACGAGAGACGGAAATAGTGGCATACGTAAGCGAACGTAGGGACGAACAATAGCATTACGAGAGCGCAGACACCAGCTATTCCGCTTAGAACGCCCAGAGCCCCATCCGTAGCCACACCAGCGCGCTTCCATACCGTACAATGACCGCTGTTAATCGTACTGCCGTCGCTGACGCAGCTTGCAGTAACGGGTACGGTGAATTTGCTCCGCCGGTTCGCGGTGGCACCCATGGCTGCTAGCCAAAATATTATCATGAGCCCATCGAGCACGAGGATCGCCCACGTATTGTAGGCGCGGCGGCAAGACGATACCTTCTCGGACAAGAGGGCGTACACAGCGATGATCCAAGTGAATAAGCCCTGTTCGGTAGGAGAATAGTGTTAGTTTTAAACCTATCCGCTTTGGAAGAATGGGGGGTAGAGGACGAGGACACGAGAAGGCATATAAGGAGGGGAAATTCCGAAAAAAAAAAAAAAAAAAAAAAAAGGTCAATACTTACGCAGACGATAACGAAGCCGAGCTCATCATAGTATAACCCGTGGATCCACCATCCTGTCAAGGCGACCGCGATGAGGGCTAAGACGATTTGGAGCACTCGAAGCGCTATGAACCATTTCGGGGTTGGGATGATAACCTCCCCTCTCTTATGTGCGTCTGCCGCTTCCATTTGAATGGTTGCTCCAAGTCTCGACTCTGTTATTTGTCGTGTAACAGGTAACTACCTTAAGTAGGTACGTAGTAGTTTCTCTGATCGACCTCGTGTCTCCTATTCGAGGGTTGTCGCTTTTAAGATGTTGGATACTAAGCCGCACGTGCGATAGACTGTTCGACCCAAGATTTTATAAGGCCTACCAGATCTTCTGGGGAAATATCAAGCACTGTCCTCTCGCGAGCGCAAGCCCGGTAGTTTTATAGACGGCTCCCTCCACTCCCCCTCCCTCCCCCTTCCCGCATTGGTCCAGATCAGCCTTGATATCCACGAAGGGTCTCCTAGTCACTCACAACCCGCATCTGTGCCTAAATGCCATTTAGTATCGGGCTTCAGCCAAGGAACTAGGAACCAAGGTCGTTATCGCGAGGAGGAGTCGCAAAGAGCCCGCCGTCAGGTGCCTGTCCTAGCCAGCTGTAGGGTTCTTTCAGCCGCACCAAGTGGACGCTTCGCATCTGATTGGCCTCGCCCGCTTCGCTTCCCATACCGCATAGCAGACTATTGTTCAGCCGATTCCCGATTGAGAACCAACTTGGCTCAACCAGCCACTCACAGCGTTCCCTCAAGCGAGCCGTTACGCTAATTATGTCCAAAGCTACGCTCAACTGTAGGGGCGCCTTGGCAAGGCAGATTCAATGTTCTTCTTTTTTTACACGCAGTCGACGACGCTAATTAATTAATAGACTGCAATGACACCATGGCGGTATATCGTCCGTATTATGGACGGTCTTCATCTTGATGATTCTAACTGGAGTCTTGAGCTGGAATTCTTGTACGAGGACTATGTGATTAGCGTTTCATTATTGTTCATCTATACATCTAATACAGGTGAATACCTACGAGTACCTAATAATAGGTACGAAAATGCCGTATAATTTTATGACCCTACTAATTAAAATGAGACGACATCAGTGTAAGCTTATATTTAAACTTCTTCTCCCCAGTATTATATAGCTACCTCCTACCTATGCATAAGATATGCCTTTAGATCTTTAAAGAAGTGAAATCCAATCCAATGCTAGGCTTAACCTAACCTTCTCAAGCCAGTAGATGAATATATAGGAATCTAAAGGTACTTACTATTGGTATAACTAAGTGATTATAAGCATAGCTTAGATTAAGGCGCCAGCACGAAGCCGCTCAGATTAGCGTGGATTGACAATATTTATCTAAGACAATGATATGTTCCGGATGCCTCCGTATTTTTATGGCAGGTTTCCCCTTGGAATACTTTGCCCATTCGGTGTTGACCGTAGGAGCGCTAGGGCGCCTCTCTTCCGTAGGCGCAACCCAGGTTCCTAGCACAAGGAAGCTCTCGTCTTCAACTTTCATCTTGCCTCTAAATATTAGTTTTCCCTGGTCATCTTTAGTGAATATAACCTCCGACCCTATACCATCCTCTGCCATCGTTTGCAAGCTGGCGTCCGAGAATCCCCTCCAACGCATCTCCCAATTTTGAGTTCCTTGCGGCTTGGGGCCAACCCATACTCCCGGCTTCAAGACGCAAGCTTTCTCAAAGACTTCTAAGGAGTCTTCTAATAGACTGTTAGGCGTAGGGCTCGGTCGAAAACGTGCAAGGGCAAGTAAATCGCCAGCTTCGATTATAGCCCAGAGCTGTCGTCCGGCTTTTTGGTGCTTCGCATTATTATCCATCTGGATCGTCATGGTCATAGTCACAGGCTTGCCGTCGGACACACCCAAAGCCTTAGTCAGTCCGATGGTACTGATCTCATACTTTCCCATGATATTCCAAGCCCAATCGGGGCGCTCTTCAAGATAGCGTGATGTCGCACCCGCGTTGACGATAAACCCGGGGATTGGGCCGGGTTTGTTCTTCGTCGAAATGACCCTTCCCGTACGAGGATTCTCCCATTTATTGTGAGGTTTGGGCAGGGGTCCGCCAGCATCCTGCAACGCCAACAACTCTCGCTCATCTTCCTCGGTATCCGAAGGAGGCTTCTGTTCCCACAGAGGCTCGTAGAGTTGTTTCCAATCCTCTAACATCCGGGACGCATCAGTTTGCGCCGTCGGGTCTTCGGCAGCAACCTTATCCTCGTCGCTCTCGGGGCTCGTGTCTTGCTGCGTCCCCTCTAGGATCAAATGCTTGCCCTTGTGCACCATAGAGAACTTGATGCGTATCTGGAGGCCTTTATTGTTTTCGCCGGGGTCATTTTCCTCTTCGAACAGGAACTGGCCTTGTGCCCGAGACTCTCCGCCTAACCTGAAGCCGTCCTCCTCGCCGCGCCACTATCCAAGAGATTAGTCATAGACCTCACGATCAGGGGAAATGCCCAAATGATGTTATCCCAAAGCGGGCATTATTAGTGATTATGACACCCAAAATAAGCCAAGACAAAGAGCCTTTGAGGTTACATACCCTCATCAACCACTCTTTCGATTTCGGGCCTGGTCTCACATCCTCAGCCAATTCACATGCAGCCTCAAAATCAGAGAGAAATAGTTTGCCGTTAGAACTTGACGTGATAGCGTTCTTCGGGCATAATCGCATTCTACCAGTAAGATTCAAATTTGGGAAATTGAAGAAGGCATATAGCTGACACGTATGAGAGCTAGTATGCGTATAACGCATATCTAGAACATAGTCGTTAGCATCCACGGGCTGGTACTTATTTGCACAACCAAGGGTGTAGCGGCCGGTCACATCCCAAACCGCTGTGCTCGTTTTGCTTGAGCTCTTGTGCCTGACGCGTTTTGCCGGCGCGTTCTGTGTCTGAGGATTACCGCTGGACACTTTGAGCGACCTTTTTACACCTAAAGGTGACGTCATCGTGTTCGAACTGGATACTAATTTTCCATAAGATGAATTAATATAGAATTATAAGCTGAAGGTATGACTAAGTGAGCTGGTAGAGAAACGAAACGAGAGCTGGCTTCGATTCACCCGCGTCCGAGGAAAATGAGGCGAGCGCTTATCCCCTTGAGCCCAAACCAGGCCGATCAACGCTAAAAAGGGGCCCGGGTTTGGAGCTCCGGGGATAAACCGTGCCCAGAAGCCTCTCTCTAATAGACGGGGACTAAAACCAGGGGCTCAAAAGCTTAGACCAATGATGTCAATTTTCGAGATCATGAAGTAACAAATGCATCCAGTCCGGGTCCACCGCTACTAAAACAAAGTAAGCTGCCAATCACTCTTACATGATGGGTCTAAAGTCGTTACGCGTGGGGCATGGAGGGGGTATCTAAGGCATTAGCAATGGTAACAACTGGACGATCAGACGTCACGACTTGAAGAAATTGATAGATGGTGTATATAGGTGGAAGATCTGGTTCTGCTAACTAGCGGTTCTTATAGTATCTTTATGATGGGGCTGAAATATCCGGACCTGGGCAGTGAACATACCTGTCTATGATCCAAATACAGCAAGACATCATATCGCTAGCTTTTTCCCCTATTGCCTTTCGTAAATCTCATAAGTTCAATAGAAATAGAAACATTAGTTAGATAGGCAACTCTAAATTATTAGGTAGAAAGCATCGCTACTCGAATAGAAGGTGTAGCGGTCAGTTTGGGGTAATTTTCTTTGCGAATCTATGGTCATATGGGGTGAAGTGATAGATGAGTTAGCAATAGTGACATATTTGTGGCCATACTGTAGTCATGTGTAACCACGATCTATTAACCAAGAACTTACGGTATCTAGACGACAAAAGAAAGAAGTAAACACATCGGTAGACAATAGAGCCTGAGGTGGTAGATGGTGAGGAGTGAATGATACCAAGTTTCCAAAGTAATATAATATGTGATGAATTATCTCCTATACCTTTGATAAATCAAGAAATTAACCGGCAATAAATATCCATCTCGTAACTATTCGATAAATACCCAATGATATCTCTATTAACCATACTATACCAACATATAAAATACGGCTAGTCTACGTCATCGCCCGTACTTAGTCTCATTCTAGCTGGCCATGAGCTCTTCAAACCAAACAGGGTGGTCATTATTGCCCTTGCAGTAACTCTCTTACCCGGATCAAGTACATCCATATCATTGTCGAGCAGTGATCCGTATACAATCCAGTTCTGCCAGGTTGATTCTTCCGTCTTGATTGACAGCCACGCGACGTAGGAAACCCATAACGGCCAACAGATAACGACGAACCATCTACAAGCGCTCTTAACCAACCAGTGCGCAACCATAATCCATAAGCCAGCCCCCAAAGACAGCTGTATGTTACTCCTCTTCATGAATATCTGACCAAGTAAGGAATCATACAAATCGGTTATGTTAAACTGCAACAGAAGCGCTTGAGCGGCGACTGCGCAACTGCAGGTAATTTGGTAGGCCGTGTATGCTAACAGATGCATAGCCGTCGCCCGGAGAAGCTGGAAAGCAAGTTTAGAAAAGGGGTCTTGGCCACCTAGTCCTAGGATGATTGGCTTTTCCGCTCTCGACATGAATAGGAAGACAGACAAGTACAATAATGCTGCTGTCCACACTTGTAGAAACGACGGGACTCCGTACTCCCAGAGTAAAGTTCTCGCGTCGAATGGATCATTTATCTCGGGCCTAGGCAGAGCGAAATAAGAAGGTAAGCACGCAACAAACTTGGTTAGGTCTGCTGGTACCAATTCTGATACCAATTCCACTAGCCAAAGAACGCCGGAGCCCGCTATTTGTCGAATAGCTGATAGCTTTACCGCAATTACAAAGTGGAAAGCCAATATAGTAACATCACTGACCATCTCAATAATAGGCTGGTGAAAGTACGTTTTATCGTGGTAGAATGGAACACCATTTTCCCAATCGGCACGTCCCTCGTTGTCAACAGGACCCCAACCTAGGCGCTCCACAAAGAAAGCTTTTACCTGAAGTGATATGATGTCGATTATGGTTTCCCTCGCCAGGTCAAGTATATTGCCGATGACCTCGAACACCAACGTGCTGAAGAAAGAGATAGCTACCGTGATAACTATCCTGAAGGATATGCGTAAGAGGTAGCACCTATACCCGCGTTGGAACAGCCATTCCGTATCTAACTCGAAGTGTATGAGAAATATTAGCACTAACAGCGTGGCACAGTACCATGTTCCGTTAAGGTTAAAGGGGAAGGGGGCCTCCTTGTCATCTAAACTCCAGGCTTCGTCTGGATATTCAGGTGGCTCGGCTTCTTGCACACCTCCGTTTCGATGTACGATGATCTGCCACCATGATTCCCAATCTATGCCCTGATCCTCTTCAAAATCCTCAATTTCGAAGTCCAGCTCCGATTCTTGGGCTTGATGTTCCCAATCTTGGTGACCGGGCTCGCTCTGCAATTCGGCGTTCATTATTGTAGATAAACTTAATTGGGGTTTATGAGCACTTGTATGGGGTAATAAATACTACTGCGTGTCCTTCATGGTTCTATAAGCTGGCAATAGACAATGGAGACTACTGCCTGGGTAGTGTACCTTAATATAGAAATTTTAAAGAAAATTTACCTTGTCAATGTTATTATGAAGGTATAAAGAAACAAAGTTGTCTAAGTGTTATGCAAGTGAGCAATACAAAGAAACGAGAGAAAGAGAAGCATGGTCATAGTATAGTATAACAAGTAAGATTGAGGTATGCTTCGCGAGTGGAAAAATAATTAGCGATGCAAATATAGTATACTAAGGCTAAGAAGTAAAAACACCCCTTATCTAGGTAGATATCTAGAATATCGTATTTCATTGTAGGTATTAGCGGCCATTGAGAATAATTAGCATTGCCCTATCCCGGTTACTTATGTTAACCATAATATCTACCTTCACTTTCATAGCCGAGAGTCCTATATTTCACCATGATGTTTTCATAGCTTAGTAATAATTTATAGAACCAGCTAAGAGGTTCATAGGGAGTTATAAAGGAAGTGTTATCATGCTATATTTAACTTAAGTACTTTGCAACATTGTATAAGCGAGGACAAGACTAGCTAATGTGGTCAACTTTGTTTCGCGCTTGTTAACAATCCATTCTGTCAATCTTGACCCTTTTATTTACTTCATGTTTGTATCATAAGGGTCTCTGAAGCTAGCCTAAAGGATTTATGCTTTCTCATACATGACGTCTGTCCTCATAGTGTACTTTGTTCCCTTCGTCACTATAACCCCCTCATGATACATATCTCTCTGCTGAAAAATTACTAAACTTCCCGTTGTAGGATTAATATCTAATTTTCCTTCCCGAGGATCCTCAAAGTCTACCGCGAATCTCGTCGCGCCCCCTTCCACACCCTCGTCGCCATTCAGATATAGATGAACGGTCAGATAGCTCCTAGCCCCGTCTTTATCAACGAATTGCCCATCGCAATGCGGCCTAAAGTATTGACCTGGGCCGTATTTTAAAAATTGCAGCTCATGTCTTAGCCGAGAGACTCGCCACGTCTCATTATGGATTATGGGGAATTGACCAGTAATGTCAGGTGCGTCTTTCAAAGTGACTACATTAGGGGGTATACGTGGGAGTATGCGCTCTAGGAGACAATCAGCGAGAGCTTGGGATGTGTAGAAGATTCGATCACAGAAACGAGACTTCAGGTCTAGGATCTGGGAGCCATCGTAAGCAGTTACTGTAGCGGCAGGCCAGGGGGCATCGTTAGGCGGGCTAACGAGTTTAAGAAGGTCTGCACATTCACTTGGTGTAAGGACATCTTTGATAGTCATCACGAAGTAGCCCGCATACTCTTTTACGTCCGTATCGTTGAAGTCAATGATATGAGCTGAGATAGAGGCCGGGGCTACTTCGTTTAAGATATCTCTATCCTGACCATTATCCGATGCCATTTTGGGGTATGTGACCTCTATCTCTAAATTTTTAGAGGATGTTTAAAGTTAAAGTTGGAATAATAGTGGATATGAGATTAAGACCAGCCTAGTTGATCTCGGCTTCCAACTCTATTCCTGAAGCGCGCATATTGTCGGCTTGTTTAGGAGGTATACATAGCGGTAGTGGGCTGGTTAGTGGGCTGGTGGGGTGGATTCGCAAATTCTCGCCTCATGCCGAATGCAATGGCGAGATTCCGTCTGACCTGAACAAAACTTTAATTCTTATAACTACCTCTTTATTTTGAGTATTCCTCTTTCTTTTGCCCAACAATTATATTTTGCTTTGACTTTTCTTCATATTCCTGTTAATAACTAATATCTACCATCCTAAAATATTGCCCGTCATGACTATCACGAATGGCACAGTACCTCATAACCCGCCGCATGCCGCGACGGTCATATCCGCGACCGAACTAATCGGTAACACGCCTTTAGTACGCCTGAACAAGATCCCGCAGTCTTTTGGCATCGAGAGCGAAGTATATGCCAAAGTAGAACTCTTCAACGCTGGCGGTTCCGTCAAGGACCGCATTGCCTTGCGGATGATCGAAGAGGCTGAGCGAAGCGGCCGTATCAAGCCTGGCGATACGCTAATCGAGCCCACCAGTGGAAACACTGGTATTGGTCTAGCATTAGTCGGCGCGATCAAGGGATATAAGACTATTATTACTTTACCTGAAAAGATGTCTGCCGAAAAGGTCTCTGTGCTGAAAGCCCTAGGCGCAACCATCATCCGCACACCGACCCAGGCGGCGTGGGATAGCCCCGAGAGTCATATCGGTGTGGCGAGGAGGTTGGTTAAAGAAATCCCCAACGCGCACATATTGGATCAATACTCAAATGAGAATAACCCGCTCGCCCACGAATTTGGCACGGCCGAGGAGATCTGGGAACAAACCGGCGGCAAGATCACATGTATCGTAGCCGGTGCCGGAACAGGTGGCACCATTACGGGGTTAGCAAAGGGGTTGAAGAAACATAACAAGGATATCAAAGTTGTGGCTGCCGATCCCGAAGGAAGCATATTGGCTTTGCCCGAGGCGCTTAATGATGAGCACCGCGATGAGCCGTACAAAGTCGAAGGAATTGGTTACGACTTCATACCTGATGTGCTCGATCGAGAAAAAGTTGACAAGTGGTACAAGACAGACGACAAAGAGTCATTCAAGCTTGCGCGACGGTTGATTTCTGAAGAGGGGCTACTTGTTGGCGGAAGCTCTGGCAGTGCGCTGAGTGCTGCGTTGAAAGCAGTCAAGGATCTCGGGTTGGGTAAGAACGACGTTGTCGTCGTCATTCTACCGGATAGCATCCGAAGCTATCTGACGAAGTTTGCGGATGACGACTGGCTGGCAGCTAATGATCTTTTACCGCCTGCCGACTCGGCGGCAAAGGAAGCGGTAGCTAATGTCGATTCCGAGAAGAAATCCGAGGACCTTTACTCTGGAGCAACGGTTCGCTCACTAAGACTGAAACCGGTCCTCTCAGTCCTTGCCACCAGCCCGTGCGCCGAGGCTATCGAGACCATGCGTGACAAGGGCTACGATCAACTTCCGGTTCTTGCCAGCGCTGGAGGCAAGCTCGTGGGTCTCGTCACCCTCGGCAATCTCCTCAGCTACGTATCGCGCGGACGAGCTAGTGGGCAAAGCCCGGTTAAGGATGTCATGTTCGATTTTAGCAAGATAGACGAGGTGGTTACCGACCCCAGAGAAGGAAAGGGAGGCAAGCGCCGCAAGTTTGTCGAGATCACGCTTGACACGCCTATCACGGAGCTTAGTAGGTTTTTCGAGTGGAATAGCGCTGCCGTTGTCATCGAACCTAGCCAAGGAAAAGCAAAAGCGCTCAGCAAGCCTGTCGCTGTGGTCACCAAGGTTGACTTGCTGACCTGGATGGTCAAGCAGGTTAAAGTTTGATTGAGGTTGGATTTATCTTACGGTGGTGGTTTTTGTTGTCCGCTACTACGTGACTGAAGACAAGTCATTGCATGGCGCTAAGGTCGAATTTCATCTGGAACTTAGATCGACCAACTCAATAATCTAGACTTGGGTGGGCTATACATGGTGGACTCAACGTCTGCAGACGGAATTGGTTATTCACTCGAGTTATTTACATAGACATTGTTTGTAGAATACGCTGTCGTAATGAGATTACGTGTTACGGTACTGAAGTCATTTTCACACAATAAGCTGCGATATTGGGGTGCTGTATGATATTTTGATATTTGGCATTAATATCCAGTAAATCATGGATGCAGACTCTGCTTCCGAGGTTTCAATAAGAGGTCGGTACGTGAGGTACCCAAGTCGGTGATGCCGATATGATAAGTCCATCTTGTATAACCGCAAGCTCGACGAATGAGTGATAGTCTCATGTGAATATAGGTACTTAAGAGGATATTAATGCTAAGCCTTCTCTCGGTGGAATATATAAATATACGTTAAGAAGCCTTGTGGAAATGGCGTGGTCAAGCGAACTGCTAGAAACCAGTAGTAATGTTGCCGCACCCGCCGAACCCAGAATTATTAGATATTAGAGCGATGTTTAGATTCTTTCCGATATCCAATCCCACCACTTGTCTACCTTGCCATCAAGGACGCTCCCGCCCACCACGTCAACTTCAATATCGAACTCCCTCATCTGACCGAACGAAAACTTCTCGGAGCCGTATTGGCCCAGCCAATCGTCCTGTTCCTCAGACCCGACCTCATCCACGCCAACCCCTGAATCTAGCAGCCCTTTGCTCCGGGACTGTCTTATCCGGCCAAGTTCGGCCTCGAGGTTGCTTTTGACAAGGGAGGCGGGCAAAGCTGTGAAAAGGTCCAGCTTGTTCGCAGCGATGAGGACATGGATCGCGGTGGGTGCTTTTGAAGTCTTCCCAGCGCCCGTGCGTTTCTGTAGTGCGAGGAGCACGTCGTATAAGAAGGATGCCGCGTCCGCTAAGCCGTCATCTAGACTAGCGGCGTCCAGCACGTATATGATGCCCCGCAGGGTATTCGAGGCGATATGGGTCATGGCATGCTGGTTTCGCAGCTTTCCATGGCCCGGGGTGTCGACGAGTAGAAACTTGCGGTGAGAGCCTGGGGCGTCGATGCGTGCAGCTTCTCGAAAGGTAGTAGCGCCGTGATCGTCGGAGACGGTAAGTTCGACGGACTGGGGAACCTGCGAGGTGTGCGTTGCGGCAGCGGAGTCGCCACGCTCAAGTAGGGTGAGGAGAGAGGTCTTGCCACCGGCGGGAGGTCCTGCAAGTAATATGGACGGGAGAGATGTATAGGGCGTAGTTTGAACGATGTAGAAGTGTACGATAGTTGGTAGCAGGAAGACGATGAGGGCGCCGACGATGAAGATTTCGGCTGAGGGTGTGAGGAGGTACTCGAGGAGTTGCTTGAGAACCTCCATTTTCGCTGGAGGTACTGCAATGTTGCAATGTCAGCGAAAAGGAACGGGAATAGAGGGAAGAAGAGTTATTATATAGGAAAGTATTTAAAAGAAAAACAGCTCCTAGGTAAAGTTTAAAGTTGCCAGGTCATACATGGGGAGTTTAAGGTTATCGTGCCATGTTGAAATTTGTACCTGCGGTATGTACGATTAACTTCGTTGGGTTACAGTGTCATCATTCGATGCCAAGTCTTAGTGGGAACCTTTAGCTTAAACGCATTTACCGTCCCATCGGGAGAGGTACGTATTCGATAAGCCGGGGTACCTATTATCAGCCAGAGCGTATCAACCAATTAAATATGGTGGCTAGAGATTTTTAATGCTGCAGTTAGAGAAAGTGGCTTAGCACTGACGACGGCTGGAACGGCAAGGCACCACCACCAAAATGTTACGGATGTTTTTACGTAGTAGTGTAACAAATTGACGCGGATTTGCTGACCTGATCTGATATATGATAATTCGAGGCAACCAAACAAGATCATTACCTCTTACCTATACATTAATGAAGTATCTTACTAAGTTACTCGTCTAAGACCAAAGAATAATATGATGATGATGTTGTTGTCTTTTTGAATTGGGCATCAAATTTGTAAGGAACCATTATTAACTGAATCCCTCTATTCTGTTTGAATTGTATAAAAATACAAGTGCCTAACTCTTCATTCTTCTTCTCAGCCAATTCATTTTCCTTGGCGGTCTCTCGCGATACTTCGATTCAACTAGACCTTTATTTTATTTTTATTTTTTTCTTTCCGTTTCTTTGTTAATTAATATCTCGGAAGACCTTCGAATCTCGCAACCCGACCATCCTTCTTATTAAAACTCTTAAGGACTAGCCACACGAGATGGCCCAAGACGCATTATCAAATGCAAATCCCGTCGGCGCTCCGATACAGCCGTCTTCGAAAGGCCCTGCCGCCGCTCCAAAGCTTAACTCGCAAGAGATGGAGATGGGTAACCTTCCTAGCGGCGATCCGCCCCCGTCCGAACCGGATATTATGCAGATTGCTAGAGTAGGAGATATAGTAGCTATGGAAAAGCTTTTCGAGTCTTCGGATCTTGACGCGACTTATACGGACGACGAAGGCATCACGCCGCTGCACGTATGCGCTGGTCCACGCGTATCCCTTTCTATGACACTTTACTAACGATCCCTCATAGTGGGCAGCTATCAACAACCAGTATGCGATGTGCAAGTTCCTCATCGAGAAAGGCGCCGACATAAATAAGAAAGGAGGAGAGAGCATCGCGACGCCGTTGCAATGGGCCGCCCAACGATCAAACTACTATACCGTCAACCTTCTCCTTCAACACGGCGCCGATCCTCTCATTACCGACGCCCAAGGTTACAATACTCTCCACATCTCGACATTTAGCGGAAACGTCTTGTTGGTAGTATTATTACTACACCAAGGTATTCCCGTCGATGTAGCCGATGCTTATGGGCATACGTGTCTCATGTGGGCTGCGTACAAGGGTTTTCCGCAATGCGTAGACCTCTTCCTGCGATGGGGTGCGAGCGTGCATGCGACCGACGAACAAGGCTTCACGGCGTTACATTGGGGTCTGGTCAAAGGTTCACCACTATGTATACTTAAGCTTCTAGAATACGGTTCGGACCGCTTCGCGAAGACGGGCACGGGGAAGACTCCAGCGATAACAGCGAAGGATCTCAATACCGTCAACGCCTGGCATAGAGCCTTGAAAGAATGCGGTTATGACGAGGACGGGCATGTCGTGACTCCCTGGTGGCCTGGATCGTCTTTCTTCCTCAAGGATAAGCGCGGGTTTATGAACAAATCCTTGTTTCTCTTGCCCGTCCCGCTGCTGTTTACTGAGTTATTGGTCATGGCTCACTTGCCTATATTATTGTCTATACCAATCGCACTCGTGATAGGATTCGGCTTTCAGTGGATTACGAATCAGATTCTCGAATACGCCCCCCCAGATATGCGACATCTGCACAAAACGGTAGGTATTCTTGGCCCAATGAGTATGATGCATCACTAATAGACCTTAGCCTTGGCTAGCTGGAATCTTTGCAGCATCTTTATTCTTGGTAGGCGTAAGGTGGATTTTGACGATATTCCCTGGTAAGTTTCTTAATTTCTTGGCAACCCGGTATTCAACATGGCAAGTTAACCAGTTTCAGCGACATTTTCGCAACATCCGCTTCTCAACTTCACATTTCTCTTCTTCTACAGTTTGACGGGTTACTTTTATGCTGCGTGCATGGTATTTGACCCCGGATACGTTCCTAAGCTCAACGGGATCGCCGAACAGAAAGCCGTAATCGACGACTTGTTAAGTTTGTGGAAATTCGACGAATCTAACTTTTGCGTCACATGCATGATTCGGACTCCTCTGAGGAGTAAACACTGCAGGCGATGTCAACGGTGTGTTGCGAAGCATGACCAGTAAGTGCCATATTCAAAAGTCTACATAATACGCATCGGCGCCAGCTCACACGATATAGTCACTGCCCCTGGGTAAATAACTGCGTCGGCGTTAATAATCACAGGCACTTCTTCCTCTACCTCGCCAACCTTGTCTTCGGTATCGTTTCTATCGACTGGTTACTGTATTATTACCTTTCTGAGCTCCCCAAATCGGCTTCTAAAGGAGAATGCTTCATCTTGGCGGAATCTATATGTGCGGTTGTCAATGGTGATCCATATACAGTACTGCTCGGCATGTGGACGACGCTGCAGCTTACGTGGGTGGGCATGCTTATTTTCGTCCAATTCGTCCAGGTCGCACGTGCTATGACCACGTACGAAAACATGTACGGTGTTCAAGATGGCTCGGCGTCATCGTTGGTCTCGGCCTTCACGAGCACCGGAGCGCCCCTCGACCCGAACCATCCGGATGCTGCAGTCCCCCCATCCGCGGCTGCCGACCCGCTAGGAACCGGTAAAGGTGCGCATGCGCATAAGCACAAAGGTTTCCTAAAGCAGTGGGGTAGGCTCCTCGGTGTCGACACGTTCATCGAAACGGCAACAGGTCGGGGCGCTGCTACCGGGAAGACAACGCGGAAGAAGCGTAACCCCTATAACAAGGGCTTGGTGCAGAACTGTCGCGACTTCTGGTGCGACCCGGCACCAATATTCGGGCGTAGGGAGACGGGTGATGCGATGTTAAACGGCGAGAGGATCAACTACACGGAAATTTACGAGAGTCCAGCTGCAATGAACCTAGGGCTGGGCGGCGCGGTTTCAAGCGGACGGAGGAGAGGCGGATATGAAAGCGTGGCTGGCGACGAGGTGTAACGAGCGATTGTTTTAATAGCGGCATGATGAGTGACTGAGGTTTATGACTTGGTGACGACGAATATCGGGTTGAAGACCCTGTGGTAAGTAACGAATGTGTTACTGAAATAAGGAAATAGAATGTATATTATTATTGACTTGTGATGTCTACGAATCCTCGGGGCCTGGCCTAGTTACGTACAAATGAAAGCGCAGGCATCTACGAGATGCTTTCGGCATTCAATTGTCTTTTATCCTCTAGCCCGTCTTAAATTAATCTGTATGGTAGGGGGTCAATATCAGGTTCGGGTTTACTTCCTTGTCTACCTACCTTAGATACATATGATAAGCAACTCTCTTATTCGGTGTGCCAATCTTATACAAATTGCTTAATAAGGTCAAAGGGAAGTCATCTTAAGAAGTTCTAACTGTGTGTTGTATTGTTTAAATGAGAGACTAAGAAATAAATGCCGACAAGTATGTACATCCACGCGGCTCGAGATAGGCGACTCATAACGATCTATAAAAAAAAGAAATCTCCCAAGGCTTCATAGAAATCCAGCACAGCGTTTATACGAGACCCAAGAGTCCGGTCTATCATTCAATGACCTTCGACCAATCCTGTAGAGCGTTGGCATCAGACGCGCCCTTCACGACCGAAGCAATATCCACGTCGCCCTCGACGAAGATACCAAAGTGGTCGCCAGAATCCTGTCTAGGGTCGTAGGAGCAGGTCTTCTTAGGGAGAAATTGCCAATACAAGTTTGGTAGACCAACTTTGTTGATGTCGTTGGCTTGGGCAGGCAGCTCGCTCTTAGCGCTGTTGGCGGCGGTGTTAACTCCCCATTCCTCGACGAAGATGAGCTTGCCGCCGGCCTGCTGAACCCAGTTTTTGGCGCCGTTGGACCATTGACCTGATAGTACGTTCAGTTTAGGTACTTGTGTTAAACCTAGGTAGGTAGAGATAGAACAGATGTATTTCTGGTTAAGGGGTGGGCACAACTTACCGGGGTTGTTGGACTGGCTACCCGCATACCGATGGATGGCGATTAGGTCGATCTCGGGGCACTGCGTAGCAGCCTTGGCGAAGGTGCAGTCATGCGAAATGTCACCGCCGATACCTCCAGTCGCGATTTGGATCTTGTTGTCGGCGCCCAGGACGTTGCGGAACTTCTTGGCGCGCCCGCAGAGCCAGTTCTTCTGGTCGTTGTTCTGGCAGACTGAAATGTCTGGCGACATGGGCTCGTTCTATTTTTAATCCGACGGTGAGCATTGCTAGATGATGCGGGCTCGGGGAGATAGAACTTGCCTGTAGGTCAAATGCCATGATTGCGTCGCTCCAGCTCTTCCATACCTTGCCGGAGTGGGCTCCCTTGTAGTTGAGAATGTGGTCGATTCGATTGTCGTAGGCTTTGATGGCGTCGTCCGAAGAGTAGAATCCGGACTTGCCGAACTTGGTGTATACGTCCCTATATATTTTCAGTTCGGATATCGTTGCTATAGTACCTAAGTAGTAGAGTGCTTACTTTCGATAGTCATCGAGAAGCGAGTTCGCATCGTGGGGCGAAATAATAGACTTGATACCCTTCTTGGCCAGCTTATTGACGACTTTGTCAACGGCATCCAGCGTTTTGTCATCGAACTTGCCCAAGTCGGACTCCAGTGGGCCTACATTTACCGCGAGGTTACTGCCTTTTTCACAGTGACCTGCAGCTTGTTGGTTTACCCACACGCGGACTACTTTGATGCCATAGTTGGAAAGGTCGTTTATATATTGATCTTGGTCTTGATCAGACAAGCCTGGGAGGAAGTCTGGAATACTAAAAGTCAGTGTTCAGTTCCAACTGAAAACTTTCGTCACACTCCTGGTAGCTGATCCTAGGCCGTTTTGACTTGGAGCTCCAAAGGAAATGTTTTTGATATTACGTACACAAGTTGGTGCCCATGAATGAATGGGAGCCTTCTCTCGGTTCGACCTCGTGTAGGGGAGATGCCATAACTCCTGGGAGCGCTAGAGCTCCAAGGCTGAGGAGCAGCGATGCCTTCATTTTTATCGATTGTATTGTTGTCTTGGTTGTGATAGTATGAGTGCCTAAGTTGGTTTCTTAATGGTGAATCTTGAGTTAGAACTAGAGGTTGTTCTTGGATATTTATACAAAAGCACTGCGTAGGATAAAGCTTTTATCACTCCTACTTCAGCCTCCTACACCATAGACCAAAAGGAATATACCGTTGTTACTCTACTTCTGAACATGATTTGATCTAGTGCTAGCATACGGCTTCGGTTCGCGACATGGAGCTTAATGGCTCCCTTTGAGGTTAACCTATGACCTCAACCCCTAAGCTGACATGTGAATAGGAGAGTCCTATTCAATACTTTCTAATAAGATGACATAACCCCTGACCCAAAAGGGGAATATTTTATATATTGCGGGGGCGGGCTTAGTTTTCTTAAATGTATATGGTAACTCTGGTTTTGGATGGCGGTAATTTCGCACTATCAAGACTAATTGGGATAAACCCTCGTGAAGACCTCACTGAACATATCGTCAATCTACCATTAAAACTATAGAAACTACTTAAGATCAGCAGCTAAGAATACTTTCCTAATGCTATATACAATATCTAAAAATAATTATGGCTTAAATTAATCTAAGTATCTTGCATAAGGCATCTATCTCAATCTCAGGACGCATATGCAGTAGCCTCGTCCTGTCAGCTCTTTTAAACTTAAACTAGCATTCGTCTAGGAATCAAGCGCAGTATATCACCATTACCGTTTAAAATATTTAAACTATTGTTTCATTATGATAACAGTAGTATTTTCTTCTATTTTGAGTATTCGAAGAAGTAAATACGAGATTTAACCCCCTTTTAAGCCGTTGCTGGTTTAACCTAGTCCAAGAATAAGTTAGCTAAAAGCCTCGTTGAATGCAAAGTACACAAAGGGGTGAATTATATATCTAACAGGCCCCCAAACAACATCGTGACTTTTGTACCAATTGTGAGAGAAAATATTAAGAGCCATGTCCTCATCTTGGTACCGATCATACTATCTCGCCCACAGCTCGCAATAGAGTATCCTTCCAATTCTAGTTCATCATCTCTTGACATCAAGGTCTCACTGACATGCTTAGGAATATGTCTCTCAGTGACATGGATAATTGCCGCGGCTGCTTCTAGTACAGCCCGGACGCGGCAGGAGCGCGGGCCCCGGTACCCATACCCATCACCTCCGCTAGCTCCGACTCTTCTTAGCTAACTCGGTGGCATCTATACCCATAACTAGTTGCGAGGATACGTTACACCTAGCTGCTTTAGATGACGGTTCCGTCAGTGCCTTTTGGGACGTGGCAACTTCAAAGCTGCGCAGCATTTCGCCGTTGCTAATCCCATACAGACCCTTACGCTTTATCAAAATCTCGATGACAACGTTTTTAGAAACCACGCCGATATTGAGGACCATGGGGAGAACCAGCGATCTGGCCACTTGGCCTGCTACGATGCGCTTCGGGGCTAGAGTCTAGGTACCTGTTAATAGCGCTGTAGTTGCTCTGCCCTAGGTTGCCGAGCACGGCTAAGATGGAGTTGGTCATGACGAAGAAGTCGAGATCTAGATCATGTAGCGCGTTCTGTAAAGCCAGGGCTTTGGGTGCAATAACCGCTGTAAATTAGGCGTGGCTCATTTGTTCGAACATGCCGTCCTTCAGCACTATAGCAGTGTGAACAACGCCATGAATAGGGCGCTCATGTTGCAGCTTAAGGACGTAATGCTTTTAAAGTACTTTACTTGAGAGTAATTTAACACCCATCTATTAAAAGGGGGTTTGGAGTAAAATATAATATATCGTAAAGAAGTTACTAGAGATCGTGTATGCCAACGTAGAAATGAGCCACTTTTCGTAGCTATTTTAGGGTTCTATTGAGAGGGGAGGTTAGCAACTTCAGATGTCCTAGCGATTTAAAGGAGAATTGCCTAGGTATGTATCTCTGAGAAACCACAGTGAATTACCTATACATGTACAGGTACCTATATATTCTGCTATAATACGAATTCTACCTCTAGGATCCGAGTTGTACATACTAAAATGAATCTTATGTCCTGTTATGAAAAAAGTAAGAATCTTTAAAAATTAATACAACTAACGAAATGCTTTCAGTGAGGCTTGCACAGGACAACAGGAATAGACCTTTAGCGATAGGAACATCATTGTACTTCATCATAATGCGGATGTCCGTAATATCATATAATAAAGAGAATAGGAGAATCGTGAAACTCGAAGAATACAGCATGTTAACTTTGAACCCGCGCATTTGGTCAACGGCTCCTTAGTTAATGTATTGGTTACGCGTTTCTGCAGCATGCCGAGGGAAATCTCAAGACTTCAAATTATAGTAGGAATACAAAGGCTGGATGACAGTCCAGCATCCCTCGACTTTACTGCTTGCGACTTTCTCTCGCCCCAGACGATAAATTCTCGAGTGGTTTGTCTTCACCGAACTAAGAACGAGTGCCTTCTCTACCTACAAAATCAAGGCTGCCTAGATTCATGGAAGAGAGCGTATCCGAGGCGCTAGCTAGCGAGTTATTATTAGTAACTCAACGGCATTTGGAGGAACTACAATAGCGCACACGTAGGGCTCTAGACGGATGGAATACGAAGTGATGGGTATGAGTAAGTTAATAGATGGGTACCTGCGTGAACGTATGAACAGTGTAACCCACTAAAGTCGTTGGAGTAGAGTGATTCAGCTGTTGGACCAGTACGGCAAGACGAATCCTTCGGGCGGAGCTGGAGATCGAAATTTCTGGCCGAGTACCTAAGTAATCTCTGCTTAATGTGGGCATGTCGTTCTGTAAACATTGCTTTGGTTCGGGTCTAGGCAGACCATGGTAGACTCTGATTCAGTAATAAGTAATCCTTTATGAGTCTTCGCGAAGCTCAACGCATAAAGTGGGTTGAAACCAGGACTATCTTTCAGCTATAAGGGATCTATGTCAGACGATAGACTGTAGTTAGAGCTGACCTTGAACAGTTGGTGACGACGGATGGAGCCCGCAGGATGTCCGACAAAAAGCACGCCTCTTGACTAACGGTCCTAGGCTAAAGTCATATTGTTATGCTCCGCCTCATATATCCGAAAAAAATAATGTTCGCAACCATATTAACGTTTAGTCCCGGGCAGCTGGAACTATTACGATGCGGCGAGGACTTAGATCACCTTGGCCTGTTTTCCGCGGAGCGGGAAGACGGGGATAAGGCTACAGAATCATCTGCAATGATGAATCATGACGGAGGAACCAGTTGCTTTTTTACCAAGGCATCGGGTCTCACCCCTTATGCCAAGCTGAAATATCTTCGAAAATCAAACTTGTAGTCCAAGAGTTGCGAAACAATATGAAATTGAGACATGGCTCGGATAATGGCATCGTCCTAGTAACGAGTAATCTGGTATGTAGTATCGAAACTGCAAGAGTAATCGCCGATAGTGATACCCGTGAAGTCTATAACGCTGGCGTCAGAATCTCTATCGACAAGGATGCACCAGTTGACATTGTACACATCATCACGCCGCTGGCCCGGCAACTTGGTACGCTAACTTAGCGAGGTGGCTCATCTCAAGTGCAAGTGTACCTAATGCAAGCCGGGCGGCCTTGTACGTCGAGCTGAAATGCGCCATTGCGGATCGTGATGTTTCGCTGGTAAGATAGAGCGACCTAGCTGGCCGCACCTATGCCCTGAAGAAGAATGCCAAAAATTCTCCTAGTGCTTGTCGTCCAATTCCGCAGAACTTTTGCTTTTCGTGGACAGAATTCCGCGATTTCAGCTTGTTAGCGGAAGCCATAATTCAAGCCACAGCTGTCATCTACAGCGTAGCATCTTATACCGAAAAACGGAGTTGCCGTAATTATTCATTTTATGCTCCCTGCTAATACATTCTAGCATAATTCTTACATTTATCGCCAAGATGTAGATATTACGCGTAAAGTGTGACGCGTACCTGTTTTTGACGCCGACATCTTCAATGTCGCAGTTGGTTTAAATCAGCAAGCCGCCTTTTAATACCTGTTCTTTTTTTCGGGTAAGAAAGGTATGTCGAGTAGGCTCATGGAAGTGCTTTCTCCCCTTCTTTCTTGGTATGTGATACAGCTCCAACGAAGTTTGAAGTTTGATTGATCAAATTCTTACGTTAATAGTATTATTGTTTTACTATACCAGGTTATCCCGAGTTAAGTCGCATTGAATGTTGCCGAGAAAAGTAAGGTGACTTGGAGATCCTGGAGATCCTGTTGCTACGATATCGCTCTTGTAAATGGATCGCATCGATGAGGACGTATTCCGTACAGACCAATTGAATAAAAGATAAGAAATAACTATTTAAAAGTCAATATGGTATTAACATATTCAAGCAAGATGAAGCAACAAGCCTCATTCGTTATTGTTATGTCATTTTGAGACATGGAATGGTCTGGAAGTAGTTGGCAAACTATCGTCAACCAGTTGCGATAGGTTGAAACTTGAGTGGATTAAGAGACCTGGAGAAAATTAGATGTAGTTTAATGCAACTAATATGCTTAGCCTATTATGTTATGTACTACCTTCAGTTGGTTGATTGGTTCTTCCGTGACACCCATTATGCAAGCCACCAGCCGAGTCCTAGGTAGCGTCCTTGAGGTACACTAGAACAATAGAATGTATTCCACACTAGTTAATTTTCGGGATACACTAGCATTGTAGATGCCGAAACTAAGGTTGTTTACACAGTATAATAGGTAGGTAGGTAATATAATAGGTAACTAGGTTGAAACAATTCTATACTACCTAACATAATGTATTCTGCGAGCGGTGAACCGAAATAGGATTGTAAGTTGGTTTTTAGTCTTTACCGTCGTACGGTTTCGGGCTCGTTTTTACTCTTATTATTCTTACAGAGACATCCAATTCATTGTTCGCATGCGGGTAGTATGTACCTATTATCTCAATCTAACCAATGATATCAAGTTTCAGGGGTCCCCCTTTTCCTCTTTCGTCTCAATCAAACCTTCTATATTCCAAAATCGGTCAAGATCTTCTTCCCCGTCATCCCATCAGACTGTCGTCATTTCCTTTTATCTTGGTCCTTCAATACCTATTCCCCTTCGAAGATGCCCGCCCAGTGATTTCATGCAAACTTGAATCATCTTTAACAAGTCATCGTCATTGTTATCATATATTCATTCCCTTCCAGCCAATATTCGCCGACTCAATTATGAGCTGCATAAATCATAAGATAGTAATAATAATGCTCAGCCTCTCATCCCACTATAACCATCCTTTCTCAAACACGACTCAGACTGAACCATGAATGAATATGGGAATGGGATATTAAGATCACATTCAATTCTTTCTGGACGGTCTATGATCCATTAATGCAATCTTCAGCACTTTTCTCAAGTCTAGAATATACCCATTCTAAGCCATCAAGCCATCAAGCCATCAAGCCATCAAGTCATCGTGACTACTCGGGTACCTAGGTTTCAGCCTTTCAAGCCCCCCTTATTTCGTCTATCTAAGTAGTGTAAGGCTTTCTACACTAATACATACATACATACATCTTACGAGAAATACGACTTTTTACATACCTCCTACAATTCGCTAGACTAGGCCTCTCTCATAACCGTGTGAGAGAGGGTCTCTTACGCGGCCTTAGACGACCCTTACATTCGCAATCTTACCAGTCTACTTTTTTTTAAGCGCCGGCCGCTAAACAATTCGACTTACGGCGCTTCCGTGCGTCCCAATCGTAAATTCTATTGGCCAATTCATCGAATTTGCCTAAGCACGAAGAGTTGCATTGCACAATTACTACGTTCCTGCGTCTGTCGAAACATTGCGACCAAAGTTGGCAACCGTTTCATTCAATTTATGGTTCTAACTTAAGAACTTTCCGGCGGTAAATATTCTTATTTAACATCGGTGACCGGATTAACCAATATATACCCCCTATATATCTCCAATTATTTTCATCCTTTTAAGCCTACGACGCCATTTTTCTTATTTTCATCATGGATCCAACTACGACGCTCTTTACTTTTATGCTGTGAGTTTTTCTATTACAATAGTTATCAATTCTTTTCTATATGCTTTTAGCCTGGTGCTTCCGTTCACTTTCGAATCCGACCCTGTCATTATTCGCATACGCTATTATATTCGCATTGTTAAGACATTTATATCCGCTCGGCATTTTCCGACTTCGATCATTCCTTAAGCAGAAACGGCATTTAGAGGTGGCACGGCATAACGCCTCATAACATTCATTATTATTCTAGAAGATCCCGATCCGCTGGGGTTTGAAAAAGAAACAAAAATTGACAAACCCAGCGCGATATCTCCGGGCAGGGGTTCCACGCGAAGGTCAGATATTGCCTACTTAACGCCAGTAGTTAAGAATTTGCACACCCTGTCAGCCCTGTTGTACCCTGTTATGGAGCTTGCCCGATAATTGGGGACGAAGTCCATTTTGGGGCATCGTACCCTGAGAGGAGGGCAGCCAGCCACCGTTCCTGTCAGACACACCCAAAAGCAAATGCTGTCTAGTGACCTTAGCCCGCTTACACCCATACCTTGTACTGCCCTGCCTTGCCCCGGCATGCCTTGTCCCCAAAGGTACCCCGAGTGAGACCCTAGCTCTGTCACTCGATGCCTAGAAGCTAGTTCCGATGCCTGTCCAAGTGGCAGATAACAAAAAAGAGCAATGGTCAGCTTACATATCTTCTGTTACTTATTATTCACTATTCGCCCTATATAGAACCACGGTGGAACTCGATCTGACACGCAAGCTTACCATATCGTAGTCAAACTCATCCTTCTGTATCATCAGTCCGGCTACTTGGGTCGTGGGATAATTTTACAAAATACCATAATATGGAACGTGATATTCGACGAGACCGAAACCAATGGCGAGGCTGCCATACATTCAACAATATTGTATGTGACGGCGACCAAGTCAAGATCCGTAAACGTAATGGAGGGCTAAAGATGGGTCACACATATTACTACTATGTGAGTCTACAATTATGAGTCCTAAACATTCCATCCCTTGCTAATAGTACTTTTAAGTATGAGCTGGATGGTTCAACGGAGACATATGATCCTTCTATGCCCACGACCAACGCCTGTCCATATCTTCCTGGCCAAACTGTCAACACCGTCGATGTTCCTCAGGAGCATTCTCTGTCGAGAATTCGAAGTGCTTCGATGAATTCTCTACGGACTACTGACTTCAAGACGATGAACCCAAGAGATAGGTTTATGACCCCACGGCCGGCTCCCCCGGTGCCCAGCCTTCCCGACCTTCGTCTTGGATCTTCGCCAGCAATGTCGCTTGTCCACAAGCGGTCGGCCCGCTCCCTCTCGCCTGCACCTAGCTGGAAGGGTGCTGCCCGGCGATTCTTCGCACGTAAAAAGGGACATAACCTAGACAGCGACGCCGGTAGTGAAACCGAGGTTGAAAGTCACTATGATGGAGAAGTCAGACATCTCGACGAGCCCAGAAGCATCACGCCGGGAAGCGTCCGATCTCATGACATATCTCTCGAGACCCTCGAGAGATTTCTATCAGATGACCTACCTCAAGCTGTCTCTGTTGCGGAGCCGTCACGATTGTACATACCAGATGAGATTGTCGAAGAGAACGAAGACGATGACAACTTTGCGACGTCGGCAGTGTCTGAGACCGCGCCTTTTACGATGCTATCACCTCCACCATTCCAACGGAGCCTTTCGTCAAGTTCGGCCAGGGACTATAACAACGGATCCACGGCCACCATAGCTTCCCCACGGATCACGCAAAACAACGTTACTACAGATTATGTTGGCGTTCCATCCACGACGGCCAACCTGAAGTTCGACGACATTCCACGGTCGCACTTTTCTTTTTCAACAACGTCATCAAGCTTCGTTTCTACATCATCGCCGCAGTCAACCGAATCTCATGATCTCAATCAATTTTCATTCTTTGACGAAACGGATGATGAGAGAGAGGATATCTTTCCTACAGATAACGGATCATTCGCCGTTCAAGGAACCCGCCGAAGCAGCAACGCGGGGCGCAGCATTCACAAATATAGCGATTCGCCAATCACGAGTTATAGTCTACCTCAGCCTACAATGCACGGCGACAAGCCTTTGGACACGAGTCGCATATCCACAGCGGCGCTTGGAACAGATTTGGATACTAGATTGGATAGCGGCGTGGCCTTCGGTAATACCAACCTTCTAGGCCGACCAAGTATCGATACTGGACTGGACGATTTGGTTAGCGACATGGGCTGGATGGCCGATGTGATCCAGCCTAAGTTCATCTAAATTCACTTTTACACATCTTACATATTTCACATATCTCATACATCTCATACATCACCCTTTTTCCTTTGTCTTGATTTTTAGCGAATATTTAGAATGGGTATAGAACAGGTTTACACGTTGTCACCAACAGGATCTGGGGTGAAGGACGTTATAAAAGTTTGGGATTTACTATGTACTTTCTATTCATTCTCTTTGCAGAATTTCGGCGCTCAGTGGGAAAAAGGAGATAATGGGGTTTTTTATACCCCTGTTATTTCGGTAGGATATGGCCTACCGGCTTCTTAGAGCAAGTAACAGGTTGCTTACTCAAAACTATCAATGATGTATATTATGATGGGTTGGACGGGAGGGTCTAATGGGCGATGGTGTCGGATAGATTACGAATTTTCTCGTTCTCTTCAATAGCCTCTTTACACTATCATGGGACCGAGGTTACAAGCAGGTTAATCATATTGGACAAACGGTTACTTCTCGTGAGACGGGAAGATGTACTACAAAGACGAAAATACGAAAAATACGAAGCCCAGACGCTATAGACGTCTCGGTTCCCTACCGTACCACATGATATCCAATCAGTTGTCTTAAAAAAGTGACCGTTACCTACTACATATGTATTATTGTACACTTTCGATGCAGGTACCAACTCGGACATATCCAACATCTGACTCATCTGATAGATTGTTCCTGAATTTTTGGATACACTAGTGCCTGATCGATGCTATAACAGGCAGCCCGGGCAGCCTCGTGATCCTATCCCTACCTGCACCCCGGAAAAGCTGACAGGCACAGCGTAGTATTTTCCGTGCGCAGCGCATACATACGAGCCCACAGCATCCACACTTACGCAAAACCGGGCACGGACTATAGCTACGTTTGCGTCCACGTCTACGTGCGGGCAGGGTACGTACGGACGCAATATGTAAGTTGTAGTATATGCGCCCATAATAAAATTATATATACATACACTATACGAAAAAGTCCCAAGTCTCTCAGCCTTAAATAGGACTAAACGGGAAGATCCTACCCAGCCATCGATGCTTCGGATGATATCCATCTTCACGTCTAGCGTGGTGCTGCGGAAATATGACTGCTCATATTCCCGCCCCGGCAAAGCCGACTAGCGCTACGATACGTCATATCAGCTCTTGGACGCCCGCGTTTGGGCGGTTGCCGAGAACCATGTGACGACGCGACGGGCTTGCTTTTCGTTGCTGGTTCCGTGGGTAGCCGTGGTTTATATTGCACGATAATAAGGTAGCTAGGTTAGGGAGTACTTAACCTAACCTAAGTGAAGATATTCCCGTCACCTGGGAAGATATTTTATATCATATGATCGATCAAGCCAGATGTCGCGTGAATGTTCTTCGTATAATATTACATTAATGAATACATCGTGCTTTGCTCGGACCGTTACACCACGCCCTCCCTGCTACCGTACCTACCCAGCATTAGGTATACTTACATAGGTACTACCTACTGCTTACGCAGTTGTCACATGTGGGAATCTGTATGTACGTATGTAAAGTGTTTCAATAGAAGTTCTAACATGGCTCGGTGCGAGCCCGACCGTGCGGTGAGGATGCGAATCCCGGCTACCGTGGAGTGCCGACAGGTGACTCTTACTTCTGCATACCTACCCCATGATGTGCACCGTCGCCTGACGAGGCCTATCTCGCAGCACGTACACTAGAGACCGTGCTGAAGATAGATGGCCAGTTCGTTGGCCCATTCACATGCATGCATGCATACATACATACAGCCAAGCTCTCGGCCGAGTTATCTGCGTGCTGGCTGTACGTTCACTATATACATACCTAGGTACCTCATATGCAAGGAGAACTCTATCCAAGCGACATCGAGGTTTGCCAATTACTCGTACGAAGCTTTAGATAGACCGATGTTAAATCCGAGGCGCAGACAAGTACCTAATATTCCTAATATTTCCGCAAACCTTCTCAGCAACATGCCACATCCCCCTGTCTGGCTTATTCCGCAGCCGGACGGGATAGATAGGTAGAATAGCGTCGACGGCTTATAAATCGCTCCCGCTACTCGTTATACCCGCGAGGCTAGCAAGCTTGCTTATCATCGGCCGTAGGGGCCGCGCCGCCGCTATGTTCGCGTTGTCTGATTTAGGACACTTACTTACAAGAGCACTAGACATGGCCTCCCTGGATTACCTAGTGTATACCTATGTATGAGGTATGTATAAACTTAAAGATGGATGATGATGTAATACTGTGAGGCCCGTCCGGTCCGGTCCCGAGTTTTAACATTACATGTTGCGGTGTTCCGTAGATACATAGATCCTTGAGAGGGAAATAGTTAAATCCCTAAATTAATTATTGATGAAGCTTAAAGTGCTTAACCTTTTATATGTAGGTCCTTGAGCATACTTTAATCTTGGAGTATGCATGTTCCTACCTGTCAGGTATCTCATACATATATCACGCTATAGTTGTATGAAAGTAGGGGGTTGGGTGTCCTGCTGACGTGAAGTGGTGAACACATTTGCTGATTTCTAATCAAGAACGGCAACTTCAGGAGGGAATACAGGCAAGAAGCAAGGTCGCTATTATGTTGAAGTATGAGGAACTAAGGCCTAGCTAAGATGGACGATTAATATGGCCAGAACCCCCTATCCTAGACATGTCAGCTTTAGGGGTTTAATAGTTTAACTAGATTCTAAATATCTACTAATATATCAAACCTCTTCATATAACTCTCTATCAGCACTTAGTTGATTTCGTGGAGAACATGCATAACCGACATTTTTAAAAGTGAACGTTCGTTAGAAATACCAAAATCGTAAATGACGCCCTTCATACTCGATAAGCTACAAGAAACACCCCTTTGTTTTCGTCGCAAACACTGCAAGGACTATGTAGGAAGATAGAGACTCATCTTCTCACGAGGCAGGAGGCTAGCTTCTAGTATTGGTGACTGTTTTAACACATGCCCCGTATTGAAGATAGGGGGAAGAAATACCCTCATCATATAAGCCTGCTATTGTCACGTTCAGGAGTCAGGCATCTTGTTCATGTATAGGTAAGGTATATATTCAGACCTTGCAGCAAGCTGCAAGGCTCTTGATGTTCTGGAGAACCCAGAACATCATCGTTTCTTTATTGACCTTTTGTCTTATGAAAGCTATCTAGCGGTTACCCTAAAGGGGTAGGAATACCTTGTATATTTTTAATATGATGTTGTCAAAACTTATATGTAGGTATATGTTAAGGAATATCTTATAAAAATGCATGATTTTTACAAAGTCAAGCGACAATCAATTACACCTAAGGGTTAGTTTAATTCGCCTAAACTCATCGAAGTTGGAAGATTTTTTATTTCACGGGTATGTTAGGAGTCTTATACGGGGAATTGTGTTGTCAATATCAAAATCTAGAAGAAAGGAAAGGAAAACTATGAGTCATTTGCGGGAATCCTGTAGTTTTATACCGTATGAAGAAGATTTATAAGGTACCTAAATTAGGGTAAAATTATATAGGGTTCATTTGTCTTAAGCGACTTTAACTAGAGTTTGTTCTTATCACAAGATTAAAACTAAAAGCCAGTGTCTTTGAGGGTTCCCTAGAACATTCTCGCAGTATACTGGAAGTGAATCATCTTATGTTGCGGGAAGGATCTGACTCAGGAGGTTGTTTGGCGGAGTCAGGCAACCTCATGACTCCTATAGAAATCGTGACAGTGGTAGGCTTATTAAATACGGCCTTACACTACGCACTGTCTGAGATATTTTTGCTGTTTAGACTGTTCATGTAGCTTTGTAACTAGGTAATCATGTCGGTAGCCGCTCAGCTAGATGCTTTAGAAGAGGTTAATATGAGTAATCTCTTAGACCGGGAAAAGATAGGCTTTTATTACCTATTTCTTAGACCGGGCTTGAGAGGCTATTTGAAAGATCAGGGTCGGTGCTAAGACCCGTGAGACTGCTCGACGGGTGAAGAACTCGCCGTATAGGCACACCTGGATCTTATCAAAATCTAGATTCAAGATTTCCACCTACATGACATAGACTTTCAGGTAAAGAGAAGCCGATTGGATAAGATGGCAAGCCGTAAGGGACATGAGTACCTGGGAGATTGGAGTCGTTTGTCATAGCTAGGTAATTTACCTCTTATCTACCTCCCAACCAGCAAGTGAATAGGGGTCGACCAAACGCCAAACCTCCTATGGGGCTACCGAGGTACTGGAGACATAGATATGAGAGGATACGTAAAATATACTACATGTTATCTAAATGAACTATCTAACCTAATCACTTGTAAAGTCGCAGTGCCGCCCACAGAGAGGTAGTATAGATCGGAAGCGGCATGGTGCTTAGCACTAAGGGATACTTACAGGTGCTTCATTATAACTGAGAATCTCATTAACATAGCTGTTCCTCTACAGATATCTTTCTTTACTTAGATGCTCCTGTTGAATCGCCATATTAGACCTCTTGGCACTGAGAATATCATCGGCTTTAAGCCATATTACAATCCTAGACGAGTTGAGCTTGATCTCTAGGAGTTCCGAACATTCTTTAAAACTAGAAGAGATGTTATATCTCCTTGGTGAATGTCACGTAAAGAATAGGATGATGTTGGAAGTATTTCTTAAATTCGTCTAAACCAATCACGGGGATCATATCCTGTTTATGAACTCATTGGTCCTATCTTTAGCTTTATACCATAGGATATATCTTGAGTTGTTCTAGAGAAGGCGGCGACTTCTTCAAGATAGAGGACATATATGGGATATTAGATGAATAACATTATACATCGAAACCCCACGAACTCGGAATCTTGAAAAGACCTCGTCTTTCTGGCCCAACTGGGTACCTATGACGACTTAGCGGTTCTCTAGGTAGATACTTTCGGCAGACCATCTAAGTAGCCAACGCTTAACCAGGATAGCCCTAAAACGGACGGATGTGTTTAGGATAAGCACTGCCGCGACTATGCCTGTCATCATGCAAGATGCCGAAGTACGAGGTCTTCTCAGATCTGCGAGTAGCGCAACCGGGTTTGTGGGTTGTGGGAATGGGCCTCATCTCCACGGTTAGAAGCTGTATCACGTTGATTATCTTTACTTAGATGGCGCAGAACTGCAAGGTGTTGAAACTCAATTATTATAAGAACGAGGATAGTTACTTGTAGTTATTTAGGCGCTGAGAGAGACGATCAGGAGAATGTTGAGACTGATGTATGATGTAATGACGATGGTACCAGATGCGACGCAGGATATAGGTATAATCGCGACTTGGGATGATGTTGCTGGCGGCGCCAATATTAGCTCAATACTCATCTCGCATATCGTAACCCTTAAAGGTTATGCTTTAAGTAATGAAACAGCCAGTAATTAAGGATATATGTAGTGTTTGAATGAATATGGGTTAAAGATAAAGCTTTGAAGGCACAGTAAAAAGCAAATACCTATGCGTTTCTATCCGAGGCTGTACCTATGTACCTAGATCTTCAAACCCTCTGACGTCTGTGGCTGTTTAAAATATTATCCAATATTATAATAGTCTTTCTTGTCTGATATGAAACGTGATAGAAGAGGCGGCCTACCCAAGCACCTAGCTTTCTAACAAAGGGTTATTAATAACTGACACATCTGCGGCCGACGAAGCTCTATGCATCTTGCACTTATAATTTAACTTACCGTAGCTACCCAAAGCACAATGCAGATGGTGTCAATAAAAGCCGTATCTGCATAGAACAGTGTTGATTGAAAATAGGTACACCTTTCGTATTTCGTGTAGGACACGCATGTATAGTTGGAGATTCGGTGTGTTGTACTGTATGTTTGTTTTCATAACCCTTACAGCTATATAGGTAGGTTTATAATATCAAACATGTTTTCAAAGTTCAATTCTTCTAGAATCTAGACTCTAGAGTTTATATGTTATGTAATTGCTAAACGGGAATTGCCGTGTTGTTTGGTATATATATTATATATATATTAGATCTGGGGCGGTCTAGCATCGCATATTTCTCAAAGTAAACAATCTTTCGTTTACTGAATGATTCCAAATCGACGAAGCTTGGCGTAGCCAAGCTGAGCCTACATAGTATGAATATGCCTTGACATCGAGCGCGTATCATGACGTTTGGTGTTTGATATTGGGCTCTACACCATGAACCTGCGAACCTGCGAACACGATACATAGCACGTTAGTAACCACCGAATTATCTGAGCATGATAAGAGGTTGAGCAAGTTATCGCGGGAATTCCAGCTCCATCCTTGAGGATCTCGGGATCCGTCGCTGTGTACCAAGCAATTTAAATGAACCGCTTATTACTTCGTCCTACCCACGCGGGAGCAGCCATGGCATTTGTAGCCGCAACTTGTAAAAGATGACCGAATATGGCCGGACAACAGCATATGTGATGCGTCTTTTTAATCCAACCTTAGTTTCTCGGTCCCGGATCTACACTAGCAAACTTCCATGGCTTCCAGATCACTGGATGTCTAGTTGGATCCTCAGACCCCCCTTGCTTGAGCAGCCTAGTGTAGGTGCAGCATGTATGGGGTTTGAGTTGTCCAATGGGCTGAGGGTTCAACGTCGATCTATCAGAACGACCCCGAATTTACTACATGATAGAGAAACATTATATCGGTTGGTTGAAGTTGGCGAATTAACATGCTCATTAACTCATGTCATATAATTAGTAAGACGGTCTCTTATGCGATATTGTATGTAGAGACCGAAGGATCGTGTACCAGGACGCGCCCATGGGTTACGCTTGAAAGATGCTGGCAAGGGACGGAGATAAGCGCTCAAATGGACCCTGACTACAGGTACCTATATGATAACTTCAGCTTAGCACATATTACTTACTATGTGGTCTCTTGAGGATGAGGAGTCGAGTCGTATCGTACCGTACCGGTGGGAGACACATTTCTTCCATCATCGCGAGAAGTTACATAGTAGAAATCACGAAACCACGAAACGACGGATTCACTTGAGCCACTTGAGCCACCGAGGCATACGTATATAGCTTCAATCGTAAGTTTAAAGAAACAAAACAAAGAGATGACCCTCTTCTCATTGGAAATACCTAGCAACGTCAACGATCCTGCATACGTAAACCACACTGCCGGTACGAGGTGGATTAAGGTATAGGTGGGTAAAAGGATACTAAAAGGTACTAGTAAAAAGGCTTCCAAGCCCGCCAGCCCGCCAGCCCGCTTGACGCTCCGATGCACACTTTCTTATCCGGGCTGGTCGAAACTTGGTGGGTTTCAGGTTTGGAGATCATGACCTACCTCCCTGTCAATAAACCCCATCTTAACCCTATCAACCCTATCCAACCCTACCTATCAACCCCTACAATACCTGAATAGCCCTTCTGCCTTGCCTCCCCTGCACGTTTTAAGAAGGAACATGATAGTCGTGACTTAGTGAAGCGGCAAGGTGAGCACGAAGTGGGCGCGAAGTGGCGTAAAAAAAATCCACCAGACCAATCGACGTTTATGCTGTTGTCGTCGTTGGTGATTGAGATTGGCGCTGGGCTTATCTTGTTATTAGCCCTCTAACGTCACAGACCCAGTCACTTGTAACACTGGTGTCTAGTATAAAGGAGAATACCAAGTGTTAAGTGCTATGCGAGTATTTCTATCTTAGACAATTAAGGCTTAGGTATCCGAGATCTCCTAAAAGTCCTTCTGTGTTAACACATTAGCATAATGGCGACACCGACACGGAGGTTTGTGTACGGATATCGAAATTAGCTATACGGATGTACCCAAAAGGGGTACGCACCCCGACTTCTAAATGGGGGCGAGATGTGATTGTTGACGAGTAACCGCCCGTATACACCACACGAATCTTAGGTACACTTATACTTATACTTACACCTACACCTACCTCACCTACATGGACCTATATGAATATGTCTTGTATATACCCGGGCTTATTATAAGGAGGTTGTAAAAATAGAGCATAAAGCATTAACACGCAAATTATCATAAAGAGACCTTATCTCTGATCTTGCATCGTAGGTATCATCGCAGGGGAGGTGCGTAATAATAAAAAAGATAAAAGAGCGAATGATTGTCAGCCGAGTAGCCAACTTATCGTATGCATCATACGCACTGTTATGTTTAGATATTCCGTATTGAAACGAATCGTTCTTTCTTCTTTCCATCTCGTCCGATAGAACGATGGGTTACTGTTAGTGGATGAGTCGATGACGGGGTTTTTCTGCTGATCCAGCGGCCGTGCGCTCCTTAACGAGTTTCAACTATCGCCGTCAGCTACCGCCATCTTTCCTTATATTCAGACCAATCATAACACTTTAAACGCATTTAAACAACTAGTGCTACACAGTCAGATATACTGTAAGCTTATCTATGCTTAAAAGGCCTACGTTAGTGTACATATATAGGTACTTTAGGTACCTAAGGTAGTAGCAGACAAAAGTGAAACCCCCGCGAACCGGGAAGCTAAGCATAGCGCGGGTTAGTAGATAGGGCTTATTGGACCTAGTATAGGAGACCTAATATAGTAGACCTGGTAGGCGCACGGTACACGGCACACTGTACACTATACAGCGTACTACGCAGCAATCCACCCTGAGAATCCATCCCCTGTGCCTCGATTTAGCTATTCTAAGGAGGTGGGGCTAGTCAGCCTGCATCTAAGAAAGACCCTTGGCAGTTACACCAACGCCAACGAACTCTAGCCCGCTAATAGAGGTATGTACATCAACTCAGGTACCTGTAAATCGACTCCTGCAATTAATTCCCCCGACTTCTAAATCCTCTTGAAATCCACGCTCCACACTCATCTCGTCGATACATTTCTCGACTTGCCGACTTTCCTTAATTCATTCGGGGTTCTCGCCATTACTCGGTGCAAAGTTGACTCTTTGTTCCACCCCCCGCAATAGGAAAGAAAAGAAAAAGAGTTGGAAACAAAGAATTAATCAAGTCCTCTTTTCTTTTCTTACCTAAACCCAGGTCTCCAATTCTTCCTTCACATGCGTACCTGACAGTATTGGTTGATAATCATTCACAATGGCTATGCTGGCTTCGAAATCGTCTTTTCCGGCTTCGCTGGCCTCCTCGAATTCCACTCTGGTTTCGAGCGCGCAATCATCTGGTATGGCGCCCTCGAGAAGACCACCTGTCGTCCATGCCGCGGGTCAAGCCTTCGCTAGCCCGACCGAGTCCGAGTTCTCCGATCTCGATGGACCTGACGCAGTAAAGAACTGGACTGAGGATCAAGTCTGCGACTATCTGAGGAGTGTCAAATGTGGCGAGTATGAAAAACTCTTCAGGAAGAACAACATCAACGGCGAGAACTTGCTGGAAATGGATAAGGAGGTCCTCAAGGAGATGGGCATCGAAAAGGTCGGCGATCGAGTTCGACTATTTCTGGGTATTAAGAAGCTCAGGACAAAGGCTTACGCGAACCAGAAGAGGCGCAACCGAGTAAGTTGACACTAAGTGAGCGTGTTATACCTGTGAAGAGCATATTTGGATTGGTTTTCAGAAATTGCCTGAACTCGTTATCTAACACTTTTCGTTAGGATTCTTTCGGGGGACTGGATTCCCAATATGCTCCCTCTTCAACAGGGTCCCCGCGACACCCCAACTCTGGCAGTCGTGGTATTGCCACGGCGTCTACCAAGAGGTATTCGCGGCTTGACATGCAAACTTTACCTATGACCTCAATGGCGGATGTCGCAAAATCCTCATCACGACCAAACTCGCCTCTACCCAACACTGATGCCCGAGGTGTTAGGCCACCGAGGTATCAGAACCAGCAGTATATGAGCAATACGACACCAAATTCGACCGCTCGAGGACCTGGTTCACCGACTATGCAGAGCCGTCTGGTAATTACACATACACGGAATGCCTCAAGTCAGGATGGTTCGCTGATGGCTGCTTTACCACAGGGTCAAGACGTCATCCGTGTCATCTGGAACGGTGGCGTTACGAAAGTTGTTAAAATTGCCGACTGCAATACCTGCGAAGAAGTCATGCGGGTGACGTTACGAAAATTCGCGTTACGAGAGGACCACGATCGCAATTACTGTTTCTGGATATTAGCCGGTGTTGACCCCGACCCTAAGCAATGTCGTCGTCTCGGCGATACCGAACTATGGCGCATCATTAAGGATCAGAAGCGACCCGAGAGAAACCGCCTCATCCTCCGAAGAGTGCCGTCCGGAGAGCCAGGAGAGAAAGAGTTGCAGCGAGCCGCCTCCATTGCCATGGAAGAAGCCCAACAATACCACAACCAGGGTCTCGGAAACATACAAGATAAGAGGAGTCAAGAAAAGGTACAAAGGATATTAGGTGAGAGCTGGAACGAAGGGCTTCAGCAGCCGCTATCGCCAATTTCCTTCCAGGACCGTGAGAGGAATCTCAATAATACTGCTAGGGATTTAGAACGACCATCCAGTGACGCTAGGGGTGCCCCGAGACGAAAGGTCATGAGGCCGTTCGGTGGTCTGAGACCTCCCAGCGAGTTGATTACTTCGGATCTCACTTCATACTTCCCTGATCACCCTAGGGAAGACATTGACCGAACCGCCCGACTATCTATGCGTAGGTCTACTCGCCTAAGCAAGGTAAACAGCCGACTCAGTGTCGCTAGCAACTTCAGCTATGCATCTAGTATCCAAGATGCCCCTCCGATCCCGACGATTGCAGATTCATGGCTGAATAGTGGTCAGCTTGCTAAAGTCAAGGCTCGTGAAATTCAAGGTCGTATGCCACATTCGTTCCGGGATTCGATCGCCTCATCAGTACTAGACACTCTTCAAGAGGAATCCCCTATCGAACCTAACCGCAAGTCTTATGTTTCGTTTGCAGATAGCGGTTCGGATAGCAATCCGATAAGCATCACAGATCCGGAAGGGAATGTCCGCCAGAGCTACTTCGACGAATCGAGTACTCAAGGCTCTGGGTCCTTGAAGGAAATTACTCAAGCCCTCAGTGAGGATGGTGAAGATGCCGACGAGGAACTACAGAGCTTCTTAGCTGGTGAGTCATGGGACGATAACAAGTGGATGAAAGGTGCCTTGATTGGTCAAGGATCGTTCGGTAGCGTTTACTTGGCCTTACACGCTGTCACCGGAGAGCTACTTGCCGTCAAGCAAGTTGAGACGCCTTCGCCCGGCGCGAACAGCCAGACGGATGCTCGAAAGAAGAGTATGATCGAGGCTCTTAAGCGAGAGATTAGTCTGCTCCGAGATCTCCGACACGCGAACATTGTGCAATATCTCGGCTGCAGCTCCTCAGCTGAGCATCTGAATATTTTCCTCGAGTACGTCCCTGGTGGCTCCGTCCAGACAATGCTCAACTCGTATGGTGCCCTCCCCGAACCTCTTGTCCGCAGTTTCGTGAGGCAGATCTTGAATGGGCTCTCGTACCTACACAACCGAGATATCATTCATCGTGATATTAAAGGCGCCAATATCCTTGTAGATAACAAGGGTACGATCAAGATTTCTGATTTCGGAATCAGCAAGAAGCTCGAGGCGTCTAATATTCTTAATGGCGCCAACAACAATAAGAACCGACCATCGCTGCAAGGCTCGGTGTTCTGGATGGCCCCTGAAGTGGTTAAGCAAACCTCATACACAAGGAAAGCTGATATCTGGTCTCTCGGCTGCTTGGTTGTCGAAATGATGACCGGAGCACATCCTTTCCCGGATTGCAGTCAGTTGCAAGCCATCTTCAAGATTGGAGGTGGTAAGGCGGCCCCGACTATTCCTTCAACTGCCAGTCCCGAAGCAATCAAATTCTTGAGTCAGACATTTGAGATAGACCACAACTTGCGACCCAGTGCAGACGAACTTATGCTCAGCCCGTTCCTCGCACCAATTACCTAAAGCGCATAGAGGCAGCATATGATCTTTTTAAGCTAGTCTTTTCTTGATACCCCTTTGCGATAAACGACCAATTATTCACTTCTCAGCATGACGTGGTCGAGTCCACCGGCGCCTAGATTTGAAGATCTCTGAATGGTCTTTGATCAGACGCAAACCCGTCCAGTCACCGAGTTTCCTGACTCGGTGATATTTGGAATGGTCACCATCAATATACTTGGACCTCGTATTTTTCATTACCATTGATGTCCACCTTAGTCTAAGATGGACATCGTTGAACCTTTAGTTTTTATGGGATGGCACGTTGAAGTCGTGACCGAAAATTTTAGACTGGTTTAAGGATTAGTTAACGGAAATATCCATGAGATGGACGATGAGGGAGGCATTTTAGTCTCACAGATGGGCAAGGAAATCAGATGATGCATTGAAGCGGCGAAATGGAGAATCGGTATTGAAGTTCCTAGCCAATCTCCCTTCTATTTTCTCGGGATTGTGTTGTTCGTGGTGGTTTCATGGGTGGCATTTGCGCAGCTGCGCTGAGCTTTGGTGGTTAATCAATGCATGAGAGCAAATGAGATGGAACGAATACTTATGACTTCTTCAACTTGCGAATGCGAGGACGTGTATTTATAGACATCGAATAACCTCGCGAGGTTGTGGAACGTGATAATAAATTAACAATCATAATTATATTTTCGAAGTATATATTCGGTATAGTCAGGGTGATACGGTTGCTAGGGCATACTGTCTTCATACTCTGGATGCGTTTTGTGTCGTTTCTACGTTGTCACAGTGGTTTTAAGTGACGACCTCGGCGTAATATCTGACTAACCTTTAACTTATACCAGTATAATCAATAACGTATATTTGGGTCTTTCTCATTCATCTGTTCCTATTCACTTATTTTTTGACTTACAGCGGTGCCTCTTACACTGAGACCACCGTCTTGGTCCTCGACCCAAACCTCCCATTTTCGGGACTTTCCTTCCGCCGACTCTTCTTTATTTCTACTGTACCTAACACAGACACGCAGAGGTTCATTAACATATAGAGGAGCTAAGTTTCGATAGTCGATCTTATGGACTTTCTCATCCGGGTCAAGCCGCGACCTTAGCACGGAGAGCATCAGGGTAAGGGAGAGAGGTCCATGGAATAATAGATTACGGTGTCCCTCAACCTCACGGCAGAACTCGGGATCCAAGTGAATCAAGTGTGCGTTGAATGTCAATGCACTGTAGTGGAAGAGAAGTGTAGGTGTTGGCGTGAGCGCGATTGAGAAATCGGGGGGTTTAGGGGCTTTGCTAGAATTTCAGCCATGATCACGGAACTCACGGATGAGCAGAATTTATCGGGGGATGAAAAGGGACAAGTGTTTGAATTTGACATACCCTTGACAATCCTGTCTCTCCCTAAGGCTGCTTTTGCTAAGTTTTCACGGGCTTGCTCTTTATTTATCCCACGCATAAAGACGAGACCTCTTCGCTCTCTTATCCCCCGAAACGTAGACGGATTATGAAAGTCTCCTTCCCTCATATACTCGCGTAGTACATCAACAAAGATCTTCTCCTGTCCCTCGGTCCCCTTTACCGTGACCTGATCTACTTTCTCCTTACACACGACTTTCGAAGAGTCTAAACGAAAATCGTCGTTGAACTCGATAGAACCACCTGCCCACATGCGCCGCTCAAACGGGCCGCCGGGACTGTGTAAGGGATCCGTGCCGTCATGACATAACTTAGAGGCGGTCTTCTGCAACGGGAAGTAAACGAGATGGTGACCTTGCGGAAGCTCGTACTTAGCATCGACCTTTTCGATAGTTCTAGCGCCTGCCTGGTATGCTGGGGCCTGGCAACTTTCAGGTATGAAGTCGGCTAGAGCTATGTTGAGAAGGGATGAATTTGTTGGCGACATAACATCCCAGCTTAATTGAGCCGGGCGAGCCAGCATCTCAGCCTTGATAGTCTCAAAATTACCTTGAAGAGAGCCATTGGAACTGCTATATCCACGGTGCCAAATAGAAGGGTAAATTCTAGGGACTTTATAGTTTACGCATTGAGACTTTTGTAGTCGGCGCAATGGTATATAAGGAACCTTCATGATTTCATTTTTGTTGTTGTTAGTCACTTAGGAGGTACTTAACCTATATATATTGTTGGTCGCTAAGTTGAAGCCGATACGGACAAGTATAAGCCGAGATATACTTATCGATAGAGCAGAACACAGTATATACAGTCAATTATTAATGATAGCACTGTATGATGCCTGCAATCTCGCGTTACAATTTCATTAACGCGGTTAAGCTAGAGAAGTCGCGTCCAGTTTAATGCAGAGGAAATTGTTGGTTGCTGCCTCCTGCCTGCCTGCCTGCTAATACTCCAAATCTGTAATACTCCAATAAAACGTGGGAAGTCGCATCTTATTTAGACGGTTCTAATTTCTTTCCAATACACCATTTTCTCCAATCTGGCCTTGCGTTGTCTACTTAGAGTAGCAACGAGCACGTCTGCTACTAGACTGCTCAAAATGGCGCCCAAGCAAGCTACCTTGGGGTATGTGAAATCTTCACAGTCCACCTTAGGGTGGGTCTTCCTTGTCTGTCGTGCTGTGCGAGATGATCACTTGCTAATACTCACGTTAGAAAGTTCTTCGGCCAACCCAATGGCCCTAAGCCTGCACCGCAGCAGTCGAAGCTTTCTTTTAGCACAAAGTCGGCTAAGAAAGCAAAGGAAGAGCCAGAATCTTCTGCCAATGACCAAGAGGTAGCTTCACCAAAAAGGAAATCTAGCGCCGATGCGACAGAAGATGACGATTCCACAAAAGGTTCGAATTACTTTTCACCATGACTGTGGTTCTAGCCCATAACTAATCTTGACGCAACTAGACACCAGAAAGCGATCCCGGTCTCCATCCACTCCAAAGGCTAAGACGAAACGATCCTCTGCGAAGGTTAAGGTTGAAGCTGAGGAGCCCGAGGAAGAGCTTGAACAAGAGGCACCTGTGGTGAAAAGACGACGAAGGGGTCGCCCTCGAATTAATGATGAGGACGATGAAGACGAGACCATGGTCGATGCTGAGCCAGCGAAGCCAACTAAACCTAAGAAATCTACTAAAGGTAGCAAACGATCTCCAAAGAAGTCCCCAACCAAGCCCACCCCCGTCAAAGAAAAGTCGCCAGTACCCAAGCAAGAGGATACCGATGCTAAAGAGGAAGTCTCTGAGTCTGCATCTGAAATAGAAAAGGAGGAAGATGAAGATGAGAAACCGGAGGTTGCGGCTAAGGCCCGAGAAAAAATTCAAACCAAGCTTCAGAGCAAAGTGGACGACCCATATCCTGATTGGAAGCCCGGAGAGCCAGTGCCTTACGCTGCATTGTGCACAACCTTCTCACTTATCGAACTTACGTCAAAACGACTTCAGATCACCGAGTATTGCTCTCTATTCCTCCGACAAGTCTTACGCTTAACCCCGGACGATTTCCTTCCGACGGTGTTATTGATGATCAATAAACTAGCCCCTGATTATGCAGGCATTGAACTTGGTATTGGTGAATCACTAATTATGAAGGCCATAGGTGAAACGACAGGGCGCAGTTTACAGGTCATAAAAGCTGATCAGAAGGAGATCGGCGACCTGGGTCTTGTCGCAGTTAAGAGCAGATCAACTCAGCCAACCATGTTTAAACCTAAGCCATTAACTATCAGGGGTGTGCATAAAGGCCTGATGGACATTGCTACCGTGGCTGGGAATGGCGCCCAAGGCAGAAAAGTTGACGGAATCAAAAAGTTACTGTCGTCTGCCGATGCTCACTCGACTGGCAAGGTCGATATTCACAAGGATAAGGGTGGTCCCAGCGAGGCCAAGTACTTGATCCGATTTCTCGAAGGGAAGCTCAGACTAGGCTTAGCAGAGAAGACAGTTCTCGTCGCTATAGCACAGGCTATGATCTGTCACGAAGCGAACCAAAAAGGCGGAGCACCCAGCACCAAGGAGATAGAAGAAGCAGAGGGTACGTTGAAGACGGTATACAGGTTAGTAATCTTGCTACATGTTAATTGGCTATTCTAACATGATATAGCGAGCTTCCTAGCTGGGATGTGATCATCCCAACTATGATCAAGAATGGCATCATGAGGCTGAAAGAGACTTGTAAGCTTCGTCCAGGAGTCCCTCTTAAGCCTATGCTGGCGAAGCCTACAAAAGCAATCACGGAAGTTCTTGATCGGTTCGAAAACCAGACTTTCACCTGCGAGTATAAGTATGACGGTGAGAGGGCACAGATTCATTATGTTACTAAAGAGCACTCGGATGAGTATATTGACGCTCTTCCCGGTGCTACAAAGGAAGCTGCCAAGGGTGTTGCGTCTATTTTCTCGCGAAACTCAGAGGACCTTTCCAAGAAGTACCCCGATATTCTTGGAAAGCTTCAAACTTGGGTCAAAGAAGGCACCCAGAGTTTTGTGTTGGACTGCGAAACAGTCGCCTGGGATGTAACCGAGAAAAAGGTGCTTCCTTTCCAGCAATTGATGACGAGGAAGAAGAAGGACGTCAAACTAGAGGACGTGAAAGTAAAAGTCTGCGTCTTTGCTTTTGACTTGCTATTCCTGAACGGAGAAGCAGTAGTCGAAAAGTCGCTCCGAGAACGTCGCGAGTTGCTTCACAGTGCTTTCCAACCAGTGGAGGGCGAGTTTGCTTTCGCGACACACATGAATGGTAGGGAACTTGACGAAATCCAGACATTCTTAGACGAGAGTGTCAAGGCCTCATGCGAAGGTTTGATGGTTAAGATGCTTGACGGTTCAGAGAGTGGGTACGAGCCCAGCAAACGAAGTCGAAATTGGCTCAAGGTAAGAACTTAACTATACCTATTTATCTGTTGTTACTAATAACGAAACAGATCAAGAAAGATTACCTCACAGGACTAGGCGACTCTCTTGATCTAGTAGTCCTCGGCGCCTACTACGGCAAGGGCAAGCGTACATCTGTTTATGGTGCTTTCCTTCTTGCCTGCTATAACGCGGCTACTGATACTTACGAAACGATCTGCAATATCGGCACCGGATTTTCTGAGCAAGTTCTTGAAGAAGTTCATAAGCAGCTATCGGAGATTGTTATTGATCGCCCAAAACCGTTTTACTCGCACTCATCGGGTGGACAGCATCAGCCGGACGTCTGGTTCGAACCACGTTATGTCTGGGAAGTGCGAACAGCGGATTTAACACTGAGCCCAAGGTATAAGGCCGGGCTGAAGGAAAACGTCGACCCGTCGGGCGAGAAGGGAATTAGCTTGCGGTTCCCTAGATTTATTAAAGTGAGAGACGATAAGAAACCAGATGAGGCGACAAGCAGTCGCCAAGTTGCGGAGCTATATAGAAAACAGGAGAGTGTGACAAAGAGCAAAGGCCCATCTGTGGATGACGACTTCGAATACTAGGAGGGCTTATTTACGATCTGGCTTATGACTTGGTTATGTATTATTACCACCTAATAAGCTATGACAACTATAATACGGTCTACCGTTTTGACAGCCATCTGATTTAGGTTATTCCCATTTGTTACATGTGACGAGATGTTGAAGCATGATCATGTCGTCCTTCAGGAAGCTATCGAGGGCCATTAAAAGTGCTCTTCATTCATAGGTACCTAACTTAAGCAAATGGTTATCGGCGTCACTTCGTCATAGAGTGAACCAAGCAGTTCCTTGGAAGGGTTTGAACTTGCTACAGGGTTTATTTATAAACCGCATACCAAGACCTGCAGCCATACGACTCGGATGTGTCTTGCCGCTATAATTCCCGATTCTCGCATGTATCATCCATCCGCCCCATCGCAAACCTAAGCAACTGGATATAATGGCAATTGACACAGTACTATACCTTGATAAATATGAAGACTTGGAGCTATTACAAATTAGGGATATGAGGGCTTTCACATTTATATATATGTATACCTGATACATCTAACTACCCCTTTTTATCTCCAAAGGCTTACTGCACTTTCTACTCAGGGGTATTGTTATTTATATATTTTCTAAACAAACTCTATAGGGTGGGTTTTAGGAAGGACAAGGCAAGAAGATGCTGCAACTATATTAGGTAGTGCGAGTATCGGATAGTAGAAAGACCATGAAACAGCTTTCCTATCACGAGTCTACCTGCCAATGCTAGAATACTTACCTAGGTAAATATATGTACATGTAGTATTCCCATCTATACGTCATATGTAGGTATATTTCAAGTCGATCCTGTACATTACTACCCCATGCCGTCTCTTCGGGACCAATACGTGATTCAAAACCACGACGTAGGAATAGGTGTAGGTTAAGTAGTTTCCCCATCGGCCACACGTGTAGCATAGAGAGAGAGAAACAGAGTTGCCCCCCCTCCTCCCCCATTGCCTCACGATGGCACAAGACAGAATTACTTTCCCCCGTCCATCGGCATTCCCCTTATCCTGCGGTGACACTTGTTGCTCGTGACTCTGGTGGCTCGAACCTATCAGTTAGGGTTTGAAGGCCGGCGTTGTTCCACAGCGCCTTTGTCTACCTACGGTCGTGCTTTGCGGACTCGCGGAGGGATTTGGAGGAAAGTCCTACGATGACGCATGGGCACGCGAGTGTTGCTCTTGCGTGTGGGCGTTGCCGCTGCTGGTGCTGGTGCTTTTTCTATTCCTACCTATTATTCTGTTCTGTTTGTCTCGCTCTGGTTAAACTTGACTCGCTACGATATTATAATATGGGTTACCTGGTACTTAGCTAGTATCGATGACTGCCAGCCGGTCAGGGACGTATTCGACTCTCTCCATATATGTACCAAAGACCTCACGTATATATACGCACGCGAACTCATACAGACGTAATGACCTACGCTGCCTCTCTCCTACGACCTAAGCTCTTCCCAAGCAAGCCCGCCGCGCAGACGCAATGCCAACACAACCCTCAACCCGACCCGTAACCGACAAAACCACGTCCCCTCCTCCTCCTTCTCCTCCGCCGCCACCGTCACCCACCAACACACCATCGCAAAACCAACCTACTACCACCTCCACTACTACTACTACTACCAAGGACAAAGACTCGGCATCACTACTACTACCGCTACCGCTACCGCAAATGCTCAGCTGCCCATGCCCATGCCACGAGAGCACATGCATGCACGAGGCCCGACCCTGGATCGGCTTCACCAACGCCGCGTACCTAGTGTGCCCGCTGTGCTGGGTAGAAGCGTACACGCGCGCGCACGGCGGCGACCAGCGCTACGGGTACGACTGCGAGACGTATCTGCGGGGTCGGGGCATGGATCCCAAGGTGCCGGCTTCGAAGCAGTGTTAGGTGAAGGCCAGGGGTTAGGGAACAAGAAGAAGAAAAAGAGAAAGTATGGAGAGGGCGAGAAGATAGGGGTGGACGGGTGAAAAGGGGGAAGAAAGGGAAAAGAAGGAGGAGGAGGAGGAGGAGGAGGAGGAGGGATGGATGGTTGTTGAAAGGTAGGATAGGAAGGAATAGCACGCGTAAGTAATATTGGCGTGAGAAGACATGTGTGATAGCTTAATAAGGGGGTTAGCATGCTTGCCCAATGAGGCCTGGATATATCTTAGGATATTTCCAGCCGCAATTCTGGGTTAGCAATTCTTTAAAGTTAGCATGAGATACCCTCCTCTTAAGAGCTTTCGAGTTAATATAGCAAACAAGTTTAACTTGAAAATTAACAGGTAATTGGTTTTATATAATATAAAACTCGTGTTCTGATTTAATATTATCACAGGTAGTTCATACATATTAAAGCACTTTCTAACACAACCTAAAGCTTTCGCTTCCACTCAACGTTGCCAATACGACTTAATATTATCAGGTATATATATCATCAAGTCTCCTACAACCTCTACTCAATATATACTAAAAACTTATGTTAGGTAGGTAAGTATTCATCTTATTCGACTACCAGTATCAATATCAAAAGAACCCATTAATACACCTAATTTTTTTTCCCTTCTCCTCCAATGCAATGCTTATTCTTTCCGTCCCCAACCAAATATATATCGCTGGCAAACTATATATATACTTAAACGCTTATTAGGGAGTCCTAAGGCTATTGTTGCTTGTTGCTGTCTATTTCCGGTGCCTGAGGATTTACCAGCTTCCTAGCCGACCTCAACTCCCTAACTCCGAATGTGTATATGAAAAAAAGGGTGTAAATGCTCATGATAAAAACTGAAGAGAAAATTTAAAAACGACTGTGGCCAACGGTGGAGGCTACCCAAAACGACTTATGGGCTTGGTGCCGTATCCTGTCATCCCTACAATCCATCTAGGTTATCCGGCGAGCCCTTGGGGTTTTATACATATATACGCCTATGCGCCTCTTTGACTTCGGGGGCAATTATCGATTACTTCGTTGATTTATACCGGCCAATATGATCCGACCGCTGCGCCTTGCTCTATTTCGTCTATTACATCCATCTATCTTCGTCGTCATCCTCTTGCTCATCTTCGTGGTTATTCTTAGCGTCGTTGTTATCCCGATCCCTAAGTCGGCTCGTCAACGCATTCAATTTCCCCTTGATGAAGCCCGGACTGCTCGACTTCCTCCCTCTATCTTCAATCATGGTGAAGCCGCTGGTGACACCGCTGCTAGTAGTTGGCCGAAATGGACTCAAGGAATCTGCAGCACTCGCACTCGCGCTAGTTTTGGGGCGAGGCATGTCAATTCCTAGGCCGCTATGCGTACGGTCTATTGGTGTCGGAGGTGTCATCTTAACAAACGAGGGCACAGGTGGTGTATTCCTGGTTTCTATGCTATTACTAAATGCATGACTGTATGAGCGGGACGAAGCAAGACTAGAACTCCGGCTTGGTGGTCGCTGCGGCCCCGGAATGTTTGAATGTGCGCTTCTTATGCTCCTCGGTGGCGACCGTGAGTAATCAACCGGGCTCGTTCCATATAAGCTTGACGAATCATCACTATTGTCGCCGCTATTGGACATACTTGGCGTTGCAAGGAGAACGCTGCTAGTTGCTAGCTCACGCAGCTTGTTTTGCTGTGCTGTGTTAGGCCGATGCTTGCTGAACTTATTACCGATGATAGCACCCGTATGAGAGATGAGTGCCTTAATCACGCGGGATTTAAACGCTAGGGCTAGGTCGAGATTGGACCATGTCTTGTTACGGTATTCGATCGTTGGTAGTCGGAAGACGAAGTCATGCACATCTTCGATATTTCGGTCGCCTCTACCTTTGTAGCTAAGGCAAAGAACAACTGATGGAAGCTTGATATACGCAAAGGTTACGTAGTTTGAGGCGCGCGCTATCATCTTCGTCAAGTCGTCTGAGGGCTTATCGTCTGCGTTGCCAGATTTCCGGGAGAGACCGAACCGCCCGCCCTTCTTGGTTTCGCTATTGTTGACTGCAGCGATCGTTGCGGCTCGGCCAATCCCCGTTTTCTGTGAAGCGGCACCTGATTGAATAGATTCGTATGACGGCTTTTTACTGACCGTCTTCGAGCTAAAGAGCCGGAATACGCTGCCACCATCACCCGAGTGGACGCTTATGGCCTTGGGTTTCTGATAACTGTCTTCGGGCTGACGCGAATCCAAGGTCAAGGTTGGTCGAAGACGGAGCTCTAATGATCCAGCCCGCGTTGAGAACGAAGGCTCCTTGTCAGAGGTGGCAGAACCAAGCCTACTAGAGCTGGACATAGTCTCGTCGGGCACGTCGTCTTCTTCCGTCTCGCCGGGGAAGGTTGACCTTAGAATAAATGGCGAGTCAGACTGCTCGTCGGCCTTATCTTCATCCATCCCAGGGAATATATATTCAAAAAGTTTCTTCCCGACTTCATGTTCGAGCTGGATTCTCATGGGAAATAGATTTACTTCGAAATGGTCCATCACAGGTATGCCTGCTATAGCTTCTAGCATATGCCAGTAGACACGGACCATCTGTTTGCCCTCTAATCCGGCGAAGGCTGCTTTCTCATCCTCAAAGTAAGGAGCAATCATTTCCGGATAGATTGCATCTGGCATAAGATTTAATCCTAACACCTTGCCCACTTGCATCAGGTTGATATGGGATCCGTCGGAGTTATCGGTTCGGTCATACTCGACATCTCTTAGCTGTAATTCGACGAGAGGCTCGTTGTTGTCGCGAATAAGATGCCAAACGATTTCCTTGGCGGAAATAGTCCATCTCAGTAGAGCATTACTCTGCGACGCGTTATCATATTTCCGTTGTGAGGTAGTAATGGCTTTCATCACAAAGAATAATTCATCTTCGCATGCTGCGAGATCGCGTTCTAGAAGCAATCGATCCTTCCATCCCTTCTTATCTAAGTACTTCGAATGGATTTGGAAGTGTGCCTTGATATCCTCTAGTTGACGGATACGCTCCTGCAATCTAGTGACCATTTCTGGGGTTCCTCGAAGGTCGCTGAAGTCCGAGGCCAGTATGATCTTCTCCAACCTCTCATTCCTCGTCTTCTCAAGAGGCTCGCTGTATAGAAGAAGGTCAAGCACGATAACGTACATCGCGTAGTATTGCGACGAATTGCAAAGAGCTCTAGCCTGAGGGAAATCTACCCAGAGACTATCCATCCTGCTTTCGGTACTCTCCGTCGTCAGAGGGTTGGCCTCCGTATTGACTTCGTCATTGTATTTTAACCGGAGAGTATTGAATTTGTCATATCTTAGCGTGGCTGATGTCTCTTGCACAACCCGTTTGAAGCCAAAAGGATCCGACTGGAAATCGTACATAACTTCCATAGGCACCCAAGGCGGCCAGGAGGAACCGGCAGGTGTTCCATATGTATTGCCAGAATACATCGATAGCAGTTGACCCGAGAACCATTTCTGATGCGTCACAAAGAACTGTGCACTGTCCATTCTGAGCAAGAAACGTCGCTGGACTAATCCGCTGACTTGATCAGACAATCTTGCTTTCTCCATAACTTCGACCACCTTGAGTTCCATTCCCTTTCCGGTGATCAGAACAACGTGCTTCTTGTTCTTTTCACTTTGGAGCTGTATTTGCGGTGCGATCAAGCGGACATGGTATGAATTTTGAGGAGCGAATTCTTCTGCTATACCACTAGTGATGTCCTCCATGTTTATATTGGTAGGACCTTCGGTTGAAGAGTATCCATCGGCGTCAACATACTTTCTACCATCTTTCAGGATTTGTTTGATACGGTATTCGATATCCGGGTCAGTTTCACTAGACTGCCTGGTGCTATTTGTGGCTGAAGGATGGCGTGCGTCATTATTGGGGGTATTGGCGGACTTGGTGTTTTGCTTGGCCCTGGTCTGTTCCTCTACAATGTCTAGGATGAACTTGACGGCAGGCCGAGATAGATAGTAGACGAAGCCACGGCGTTGGCTGACTTGGTGGCTATATCGGAGAATGATATTTCGCAGTAAATTGTTCCACTTCAGTTGAACATTGTGGACAACAAACCTGTTCTTGAAGTCGCTCGCAAAGTCGGTCCCTGACGGTATTCTGACTTTTCCATCTCCTGTATCGATCCATTCTCTGGATTCGTGGCTCGTAGACTCAGAATCTCTTGAAGCATCTTGATTATCTGTTGATGTTTTAATTGCTACTTGCTGCAGCATATCTTCCATGAACAATAGCTTTTCTTTCAAGACGGTAGCATGCTTGCTAAGCATCTCGAATTCAGCTTTGATTTCTGGATCATTACCGTTATCACGGATCATACGTAATTCAGCATCACCGATGTTGCGGGTGTTGGCAACAATCTGGGCCTTCAGCTGCTCCAATCGAGACTGGATCAGCTGGAATTGGACTCTCCTAGGATCATCATCCTGGCTCATTATACAGACATGGGTGGGTTCGTCTCCGAAAGGACTCGTGCGGTCAGGGTCTCCATCTATGGTGCCGCCAATATCGGTCTGTCTGAAATATGTCACACGAGGAGCATACGCGAGCGGCAAAATTTTCGTGTCCGGATTTGCTTCTGAGGGTAGGATTGAGTCGAGCTCGACAAAGTCATCCATGTCGATCCAGCTAAAATCATTGTCAGGAATCGTGAAATGGGAAAGGTCTGCACCGTCTTCGTCTTGCTGTGTCATCAAGGTCGAAATCGAATTTTTCTTGATTGCTTCGGTGCTCGTGCCTTTGATACTAGCAGAGACAGCACGAACATCCGCAGATACAAGATCGAGCTGAGCTGCATGAATCTTCATACCAGTTGTTCTACCGTTCGTCTTGTGACCGCGGTCTCGAGTGTTGAACTCTTCTCGGCGCTGGTGGATGTCAAGCATGAAGCTGTCAAACCTGACCTTAATACCCGTAGCCGAAACGGAATTTTCAGAGTAGTCTTCGGCATCTTTATGCTTATATATGTGGCTGAGGAATAGGGGGGCCAAGAGGAGGTTGTACTTGATTGTACCTAGATGCCTTCCAAATTTCTTGCTATTCTTTTCTCTTCCAGGCCATAGAGAACCCTGGCGAATAGGAAGCGACATCGGGCCACTGAATAGAGACCACCAAGCAAAGAAATGAGTGAAAAACCGAGGCGTCAAATGCACGGTATTATAACTTTTAGACGGTTGGATCTCCGACGACGCCCAATCTCGGTCGACTGGTGCTCTGATTGCAATAGAGAGATGTATGTGCTGGCTTCGGAATCCGCGGAAGGCATCATATGGGAGAGAACCGTCCTCGGATTTGGCGTGCTGAGGGGACTTCAAAACCACCTCGTAATGCGGTTTGAACTCAAAGTTCCGCTTCCCGTTTTCGATAGCCTGCTCGAAGACCAGTCCGGCCAACCATTGAACATTACCAGACACTTTCATCACAACCTTCTTGAACGCTGCGCCGGACTTGAAACTATTCTCGCTCGTCATGCTGTCTTCTTCTCCGGCTCGGCGCGACGCCTCTCTAACCTGGTGGCTGTAGTCTGGTATTGCAAGGACATATTCACCGCTATCGACGGTCATGAACTTCTTCGGGTCGTCTTCGGTATGAACATTCCATCGAACATTATTTCGCCAACACATCAAGAAACCTGCGCCGTTACCAGTGACATTGTAGGGGTCCCTAGTGCCCTTCAAAGCAAGGTGAACATCGCCGTCTTCCTTCCATGCAGCCCGAACCCGAGAATGAAAATTGAGCCTGATCTTATCCCAGAACCCTACACGTTCCGAAGGATCCAATTGTGGCTTTGTGAACGACTCAATAGCCATCATCATATCTTGAATTGCCGGTTGATACGAAGGGCCCCAGGTAATCCTGGTAGGATATGCGGTATTGATGTCAACATGCATGTCTGAGTAGGACTTCACGGGTCCAATAGTGCGGCGAACGTCGATAGCGAAACTTCCATTCGGCCTTCCTGGCTCTGAATTGTCTGGTGGAGTAATCTGAACTCTGATTCTACGAGATGATTCACTGCCGTGGAATTCTTCTGCGATAACGAAGTCCGTTTTGAGCGATAAAGCCGCAAGTCTCGATGATTGGCCAGACTTGGTAGCAGGAACATGAAGTAAGGGTAGAGGATAGTCCCGGAGGCTAACCCTTGCCTCACCCATATTGATCTGGACATTCATAGGTACGAGGAGGGAATATTTCATATCCTTGGGCATTCCCTTTCCGACTTCATGTAGAAAATCTGGTAGCTTCTGGATTGGGAATGACGGCTTGTCAATCACTATTTGTAGATCTGTTATCACAGTTGCCATCAGCGCCGGTCGTTGAGGCACTTCAAGTATTTTCTCATTGTCCTCGACATCGTCAGGAACTTCATCAGGACCCCAGAATAAGCCGCGCAGCTCCTTCATACCATTTCTCGCCATCGCATAATGGCGATCAATACGTCTCTTCCAGCTTTGGGCATTATGCTGATGGAGTTTAGTTCTAGCTTCCTGAATTGAGACGTGTGCGCTACCACTCATGCCACGAATTGTTTCCGGGTCGTATCGAGGGTTCCTGCTTCTCGGCGCTTCGCTAGAAGAACGCTCTGCACGGCCAAATTGTGAGAGACCGTCTTCACTCCTGCTTCTTACAAAAGAAGCATTCGAGGCTGCCGTTCGTCCTCTCGTCATCACCGATCGATTCCTAATCCGATTCGACTCTTTCCTTATTTCTTCTTCGTGGATCTTCTTCACTTTAACCCGATAAGCCTCCTCACGAGCAAGCCGCTGCAATTGCTCAACACGCCCAGCCCTGTAAATCATTCCTAACTTCCATTCAAAAGCGCCGTCTTCAAGTTCAAATAAAAGAGTGCGGGTTCTCAAGGAGATCTTCGGGACGTTCTTTGGGCCTTCTGGTGCCTTATCTAGGATATATTCGTTCGTGCCTGTCTTAAAGCGGTGGTGCAGTTGTTCGCTCGCCTTGATGACATTGATGATGTTGTCGGATATCTGGCTGATAATAAGCTCATGAGGTACCGCTAGCCGCATAGCATCGGTCACTATATCAAACATTTTATCGTCGTGATAACCACCAGTTGACATTTTCCTACGTGACTGGCGGTAGTCTAGACGGATAGTCTTAATGCTTGCAATGCGTGCCCAAACTCCTCGCATTCGAGGCGCACCAGCATATAGTCGGATCAATTTTGAGAAAAAGAACGGGGGTGACCACCTATGTCTGCCAGCTTCCATGGCATATATCTGCATCATCAAAGGGGGATCAGAGGGCATTTCGGCTTTGATCTGGATAAGGGAGGCTTTGATATCATATGAGACAAGCTCCTTCGAGTACCGTGGGAATTTATCCATCTGATCAGCAAGGGGTGAGTCGGGTGATATCAATGGAGGGCTCAAGTATCCTGTCTTTGGACTGGCTGGCGTCGGCGGTTGAGGTCCCGCTCCCGCTCCTGGTCCCCTCGTGAACGCATTTCGCAAAACCATGACAGCCACACCTATGGAGTAGTGTCGGTAAAGCGAATAATGAACACGTAAAGTTCTCATATGGGAATGGACATGAAGAATTGGACCCTGAGCATCACTATGTGTCGAGAGAGCCACCTCGAAGCGAGGCATTTGAACAAAAGGCTCAGCTTCCCATTTCTCTGGTGCCTCAACTATGAAAGCCTCCAGATTTCGCGTATGGAGAGTCAGTCTTCGTCCATCGCCCTCAATCTGCTGCTTTTTGCGCGGGGATGGCGGTACAGCAACCGAACTCAAGAAATCCGCATCAGGTATGAAAGATCGGCTAGCCGTCCGTCTTCGAGACGCTGGTCGATTCCGTAACGAATCTAACCTATGAGCTCGATACTCCGTCGACCACGATTCCATTTGTAGCACGACGCCTCGAGTATTCCCCGGAAAATCTTCATCGATGCCCGTAATTTCAGCACTGAAATCTTCAACTTGTACTGAAAAATGAAGCAGCCACGATGGCAGGGCACGAACGATATTCTGAGATTTTTGCATCTTTGACCCCGCCCTCTTGTCAGGCTCAACATCTAGCTTAAGTTGACGAACGATTTGGCGCAGACCTTTAGTTATCTCTGGGCGGGTCATACGAATTGCAAAGGTCTGGAGTTGACCGTTGGCAATTACATGGACATCAGGAGTTGCTGACAGCTGCACTTTGAGGTCAAATGACTCCGTATCTATTAAGTCGAAGCGACTGCCCTGAGTAGTTTGATAATAAAGATGATGGGTTTGAAGTCGGAAGGATGATACCAAAGAATAGTGTAAGTCTTCAACTGCAGAATGGAAGGACTCGAGGTCAAGCGAGATAGAGGAAATGGAAGAGATGATCAAGTCGAAGTCATCCGGATCGTTTGTCTTTTCAACTGGAGGTAAAGCTATCCTTAGGACTGGTTCATGCATAGAAAACTTGATATTAGCTTTCGGTAATAGGCGAGAGATAAGCATATGCCTCTGTTGTACGTGGGCTTTTGGTGCCTTCGGCCGGGGTTGGAGAAGAGCAAGAAGCACGGGAAGATGTTTTGGATAAAGATCCACCGAAGGTGAGGTAACGACAGAGTTCGCAAAGAGTATATTGGCATTTCGCTCTTCAGCGCTTCCAACATCAGAGAGCTCTACCGTTTTCGAGGGCAGGGTAGTTTTCACGGTCGTAGTGGCCATGGGAATATACACTATCCTTTCTGGTCTACCATTGCCATCATCGAGCCCAACAGAAATGGACAGGGCCGCGCCCAGAGCCTCGTGAGCAATGTCCTTTGAAGGAAAGTACATGCGATGTGCCGGAGACTTGGGGTCCAAGCGATGTAAGTCTATACCAACCTCCTTCATAGATGCATTCAACAATAAAGGCGAACCAGCTGATTTCACAGCATTCACCTTCTTCGAGAGGCTGACAAAGCTCACTGCAAATTGGACTTCCTTAATTCCTCGAAGGATAGAGCTCACGAACTCTTTAGAATCAGACACCGTCTGCATTAACTCTTGGTCCGTACTGCCCGGCTGATCAATTTCTTGTAAGACCTTGTCGACCGAAACCTCAATTGACTCAGCCTGCGTGTACGTATTTGAGTTCTGACGCTTGGATTTTTGATAACGCTCGACAAAATTTCGTACATCGTCGTAAGGAACGTGTAGTCTGCCAAGTTTAAGTGCAATAGCTGCATCCCGTAAACCATCCAAATTCTCATAGAGGAACCCATGGATGTTCAGCGTAGCACTGTCCAGAATCTCAATGGCCTCGGCTCCCTTGGCCGTGAACAGAACGCTTCGTAAGGTGACGATCCATTCAGCAGAATGCTGATGACGCTGCTTTTCGGAACTTGTTTGGAAGAAAAAACGTGCGCGGTCCACCATACGATTCCGAGTATCCAAGGCTATTGTAAAGCTGCCAAATTGTATTTTCCCAGCATCTACAATATTAAGCATAGAGTCGGTAGCCACGACATCTACCATACGAAGCCAACGAACATTTCGGTGTAGCTTCTTCACGCGCTCTTTGATCTTTGTAAGCTGTTTCCAAGTGGCACTGCGAGCAGACTTAAAAGCAGCTCGCCTTGAAGGTTGCTTTTTAGGTAGGGCTTTCGTTGCAATAGGCGGCTTCAGTCCTTTACCACCATCGTCGTCGCTCTCACTCTCGCTAGTATCGGCCCCTGCATGTTTTTGTCCCTCGAGAACTTTGATATCGACAGTTACGGCGAGTTCGCTTACGACGATGCTGAGCCAAGTCGGCTGGGAGAAGGTCGGACGGTGGACATTGAGGCCCAAGCCGCGGATCTCGATCTTGATGCCATCCTTGGGGGTATAAGCTAGTCGACGGAGCGAGAAATACCCAATTCGTTGTATAGATATTCCTGTTACTATACGGACTACGGCGAATAAGACGAAGGACGAGAGGTATAGGAGGACGAATACGCCAAAGACGAAGGTCGGATTTAAGAGTGCCATAGCACCTTATGGCAAGGCGCGTGCCGCGTTGCTAGTTTACGAATATAATATTAGCATAATTGGCTACGAGACTAAATATCTCTTTTTGTCCTTACATTATCACTTCGCGTGCTTGCTCTCCCTGCATCATCCGAGTGGTCGGGATAGGCGTTAATCCATAATCGTTGCTTGTCGAAGTTAGAACGGCGATAAAGACACGGATAGCTTTGTTCTTAGGTGGTATTTGAACGTGTGCCTAATGATTATAAAATCTCCGGATTTGTCCCTACTCGGATTTATAGATAGCTATTAGTCAACTGAACAATAGCTCTAGATGTCTAGGACTAAGGGATCACAGCTGCTACCTCTAGGAAAGGGATCGCAAATCGTAACAAATGGGAAGGAGGATTAGAAAAGGCTACGATAGGAAAGAGATAGGAAAAGAGATGGGTAAGGGTAATGCACGTCACAATGCAGCCGCATTGGTGGAAATCCCACGCTAAAATAAGGGTTGTACAGTGTACAAGACGCCAAAGAAGGGCAAAGACAGGGCAAAAGACAGGGCAAGACAAGCCCCTAACGTGGGTTTACATATTACATGAGAACCCACTTAATTGGAAGTCTAGATTAATAACTCGGGAGACACATGATTAACAAAGAAGCAAAAGAATTCAAAATAACTCACCTCAAAGAATTTCTTAAAAAATATTTAATATGCTAGTTATATAGTTCCTAATAACAACACAGAGAGAAGAAATTCGGATTATGTCGAGTTTATATAACAAGCAGGCAGAGTTTTATGTTTTCTAGACTTCTTCATTTATTTGGTAGTAGGTATATGATAGTAAAATGAGCAAACTTCGGTTCCTCCCGTCCCGCAGAGGTCTCCAGTGCTCATTCAAGCTCATTCAATTATTAGTGGATCTGTCTATCCTAATATGTAATGGAGGTACTCATTTCACTTTGATTCTCTAAACTCCGGCGAGTTCAAAATAATCTCCTGAGGCTATGTAATATCGCCAGTCAAAACTGTACAAATCAACGGGTGTATGTAAAACATTCTCGCTAAGCCCCAACGTTTCCAAGAAGAAAACCTCCATGTATTCCCTCCTTAAAGTCAACCGTGCAACTCCTTGCATGCTTCCAAAAATGACCAGTTCCCCCTGAGTAAAATCAAAGTTGTCGAGTTCCCATAAATTAGGTACTTATTACAGTACATCGTTGATACTAGAGCTTTGACCGGACAACCTCTAGCCTGTACTTGACGTCTTTGAGTGCCTTAGTGCTAGGCGACCAATCGTCAAACTGCTTTAGCAGTTCCGTCGTCTCCGAGTACAATTCTGTCTTAACAAACTCCTCTTCTAGTAATCCACGCATAATCCAAGGCAACAGAAAGGGGTTTGGATTTGCCAATTTCTCTTGCCTCTGAATTCGGCATGGGACGCCAGAAACATTAGTAGTCTCGAGAGCGTGTGAAATTGCCAAGCTTTAGCGTATTAGTACTGTTTAAACATTCATCTAGAAGCCATTTAAATAAAAACTCACTCGTAAACTCGCTCATCGTCATAAAGCCTCGAATGGCCCTCTCCAGAATAGAGACTACCGGCTAGTGGTATGGAGAGCTCACGGATGAGGCCGTGATCGGATATCCCCAGGTTTCGCAGTTTCAGTGCGAACCCAACTAGATGAGCAATGAAATCTGGAGCGTGAATACGTCCATCTATGAATACAGCGCGGTATATGTAAGGATGTGAAGCTGGCGCATTGATCGCGGATTCCATAGGAACCAGTTGATCATCAATGCTGCCAATGTACTGCGATATTTAGTATTCATCATGATCAATTGCCAGAGCGCAATGAAACTAGATTTCTCTAATACTCACAGTGATACGAGCTCCATAATTAACAACAGCTTCAAGTGAATGTTGGTATCTCTTGGATATTTCGCTTTCGGGGTCGGCAAACTGCCATAACTCAGCAGCAGAGCCCATCAACACTATAGCATTCCATGTTAGTAACTTCCATTTACAAATAGCTATGGTAAACACTTACTACCCATGCCGGACTTGTAGTCAGGGAAAGGCCCAAGCGAAACACCAGCTAATCGACAGTGTTAGCAGCCAGTATTACACTAACCATCGCCAGTTACTTACCCATAGCGCAAACCCCAACTTTCGAGTTAGTGATGATGCCCAAATCTATTAGCTTTTCAAGGAGCATTAAGCCAACAGGGACTCCTTGAGAATGACAAGCTAAAACAATAAAGTCTGCGCCACGGATATGCTCTATCCAGTTTAGGAGAAGCTTCCAGAGGTTATCGACCCTATCCGCAATCTTTCCTTCACCCTCAAGAGCGACTTTTTCAATCTCACAGTCCCCACAACCGTGACTCTCTGCCCACCTCCGTATCGCCTCAGCGCCATGGTTCGCAAAGCGAATCGAGGTCCCTGTCGGCTGGCCAATCATCGGCCTCAGAAATGATGCCGGGAAAAGACCGTGGATGCCAATCGCAACGGCTTTCTTGATTTTCGGTGGTTCTTTAACAAGAAATACGTGATTTGTAGGGGGCTGTTGCGTCCGCAGTAGCAATTGTGTAATCTGCTTAACGATTGATGGGTTGTTCTTCATACGATACGTATTACGAAAGGAAGGCAGAAGCAGATTCGGTGCAGACGACTTGCTTGAACCCGGAGCAGATGATTTCGGTGGTGCAGTCTTCGTAGACACGTCTGACTGTGGAGTCCCTGGTCTTGATATCTGCTCACCGATATCTAGAGACTGAGGTCGTATCCTCTTGTTCTTCTTAGAGGAGTTCACCCTACTAGGTGCCTCCTTCAACGTCTTGACTGAAGCTTCTTTTACTGGCATTTCACTTCCATTAACCTCGACACTGGTCGAGTGTCTCGGATTCGCCTCCGAACCGTCCCCCATAATAGCCAACTCGCCGGATTCTGGCGTAGCGGCCATTTTCGTGTTGCTTTTCTGGCCTGTATCTCTGGACCAAAAAGCCCACGTCGAACTAACAGACGGCTGGCTCACTTCTACCGGCTTCGAAGGTGGGTCATCTTCCATAACTACGTCTTGGTTTCCCTTCAGTGTAGATTCTTGAGCCGGTAGTGTATCAGTCGGCGTTTGCGCAGAGTTTTCTGGTACAGAGGGCGTTGCTGATGAGTACCAATATCCAAACCAAGAGCTCGACGGCTTAGTAGAAGTAGATTCAATAGGTTCCGTCGGGGTCTGGTCAGGTTGAGGAGGTTGAGGAAGTTTGGAAGAGGGTTGAGATGTATCTAGTTCCATATTTTCGGGCTCTTTAGGAGGATCGACTTCCATACTTTCGTCCTTCGGGGTAACCACCTCTGGGGCTGATGATCTGCCAAACCACCCCAGCCAACTAGAAGAGGCCTGAGGTGGTTGCGTTGCTCCTGTTGAAGCTTGAGTCTCGCTTTTGTTCACGGTCGCATCGGGAGCCTCTTGGTCCTTTATCGCCTCCATTTCATCATTTTTTCTAGTATCAGCAGCATTATCTGCTTCCCGAGCTTTTACAGATTTGCTATCATCTTGTTCAGGCCGCAGAGGTACTTCGGTAATTTTGGGCAGTGCTTTAGTAGATTGACCATCGGATTCAACAGAATCGTTATCCTTCTTAGTTTCGAAACGGCTAAAGTCGGGAACAGCGTCGGGACGTAGAGTGCCACCCATGATAGTCTGATGTGAGACTTGAGTTGAGGCAGACGACTTTGGTACTCGTGGCCAAGAGCCATACCAACTTCGAGGCTTGCGCACCTGCGACATAGAAATCCTCTAATTAGTAGTAAGTTCTAAGATATGATTTGGTCATATAGTATATTGCAGACCTGCTTTAAATCATTAGGTCTTGTAGATTTTGACGTAGATGCAGATGAATTTGAATTATCTCGCTTCGTGGGTGGCATCGACTGGCCCGAAGCTAGAGAGGGTTGTGACGCAACACCGCCGTTGGCGTTGGTGTTGGTGTTGGCATCACTGTTCTCTCTAGTAGAGGGATTCGGTTTCGCACGCTTCCGGGGAATCATAATGGTTTATGATGTAGAATTTGAGAAATCAGCTCCATAGAAGGAATACTTTCCTACTAAGTTTCGTTATTATTCTATGTTGCACTACGTAACCTTTCAGTTTCAGTAGGAAACCATGTTAAGATAGGTACCTACCTACCTAACCTAAGGTAAGTACATAATACTATTGCACACATGTGCTTCTAATCCTAGGTCCTAGGTACAGGCCTCGGAAGCAAAGCTGCATTATGGCGGGAAAGTGGGACACCTAGCTCCTTGTAAATCCAAATATACGCCAATGGGAGGCGATAATAGGTGGGGGGTGCCTGCTAACTCCTAGACCCTGCAGCAGCTGAGCAGACTCAGATATTGATCATTTGCGTACCCACTATAGATTCTTATCGATAATCGATAACTGACTATCGCGAAAAAAAGTTACCCTGCGCAGAAGATTGAAAGCAAAGTTTCAAGTAGGAACAATCTTAGCATATTTAACAATTGTATAAGCCCTCCACCGAACGGGCGCAATTTTACTAGCAAATTGCTATGATATAGGCAATGAGCTCACTCAAGAGGAAAGATGCCCCTGGGGCGGCATCAATTGCAAAACCCACGAAAGCGCATAGCGACTCGCGGCCATCGAAGCGATCCAAGCCCGACAAGACCTCTGAGAATAATGATGCGAAGTCGAATTCGAATTCGAAACCCACTAGCACATCTACTGTCTCTCGCTTAAAGGAAGATGAACCTCTATTTCCTCGTGGAGGTGGCAGCGTCCTCACTCCACTTGAGCACAAACAGATCTCCATACAGGCGAAACAAGACGTTCTATTCGAGCAAGCGTCCGGGCAGAGTACGAACAAACCAGACCGTATTTCCAAGAAGAAGAGAGTCAAGGTATCGAAGGATGGAAAATCTGGAAAGTCTCAGCAGGATGAAGAGAGTACAAAGGTCGAAAGTCTCAACTACAAGGTTTGTTCCAAATAACCATCGTATACTATTCGGATTTGCTGCTAATAATTTCTAGCGGTTGGTTAAAGGCTCTCTAGTTCTCGGCCAGGTAGCGGAAATTAGTCCTCTAGAGCTTGTTCTGTCCCTACCAAACAATCTCTCTGGTCATGTGCCAATTACTGCTATTTCCGACACTTTAAACGAGAAGATAGCAGCCGAGGCGGCCAAAGACGAGGAAGATGACGAGGTCGAAGATGGTCTCGACCTACAGACTATCTTCAAGATTGGCCAGTATCTTCGCGCCTATGTCACATCAACTATTGAAGAGTCGACAGCCGCTTCTGCTAAACCTAAAAGGCGTATTGAATTAACATTGCGTCCAGCTCTCGCAAATACAGGTTTATCCGGTCAGGATGTTGTTACCAACTCTACTGTCATGGCAACAGTCCTTAGTGCCGAGGACCATGGTTTCGTCATGGAACTAGGTATATCTGATTCAGATCTGCGAGGATTCTTACCTCGAAAAGAGTTAGCAGAAGACATGACGGATTCTCAACTACAGCCTGGAAGTGTCGTCTTATGTCTCGTGACAGGGAAAGGTACTAACGGCAAAGTTGCTCAGTTGACTACTCTCCCGAACAAAATTGGGAGAGTCCAAAACTATGCATCAGAAGCGACCACAATTAACACGTTCTTACCAGGATCCGCGGTAGAATTCATGGTAACAGATATTGCCAAACGTGGAATACTAGGAAAAGTCATGGGTTCCCTGGATGTTACGGCTGATCTAATCCATTCAGGTCTTGGACCCAAGGCCCTAGACTTGGAATCCACGTATAAGATTGGGAAGAAGTATAAGGCTCGCGTAGTATGCAACTTCCCAGCCGCCAATGATCCAAAATTAGGTATCTCGTTGCTAGACCACGTGGTGTCCTTGAAATCAAAGTCGACTCCTTCGGGTGAGCTACCTCCAAAAGCTCTCCCTATATCATCAATGGTGGAACAATGCAAGGTTATCAAGGTTGATCCAGAAGTCGGCCTGTTTGTTGATGTAGGTGTCGAAGGAACACCTGGGTTTGTGCATATATCTAGGGTCAAAGATGGCAAGATCGATATGCTGTCCGAGTCTTCTGGCCCCTTTAAAACAGATTCCGTGCACCGTGGTCGAGTAGTAGGCTACAATGCTATTGACGGCATGTTCCATTTATCGTTCGAGAAGCACATCCTAGAGCAGCCATTCCTGCGCATCGAAGATATACCCATAGGTGAAGTTGTCAATGGGGAGATTGAGAAGTTGATGGTGAATCAAGATGGCGTCAGTGGCCTGCTTGTTAAGCTTGCAGAGGGTATTGTTGGCTTTGTTCCGGAAATGCATTTGGCAGATGTTCGACTACAACATCCCGAGAAGAAATTTCGAGAAGGACTCAAAGTTAAAGCTCGAGTGCTTTCAACCGATCTAGTCAAACGACAAGTCAAGCTTACGTTGAAGAAGACGCTTGTAAACTCCGAAGCGGTCCCTCTAAAGTCGTTTAACGAAGTTACTGTGGGTATGCAAGTTCCGGGTACCATCATCAAGGTGTTTCCCAACGGTGCCATCGTACAATTTTACGGTACGCTCAGAGGATTTTTGCCAGTTTCGGAAATGAGCGAGGCGTACATTCAAGATCCAAAAGAGCATTTCCGTATTGGTCAGGTTGTCAGCGTACACGTCTTAAGTTTCGATGTAGAGGCACGAAAACTCTTCGTTTCCTGCAAAGACCCTTCCGCCTTTGGTCTCGACAAACAAAATGCCCTCAAAAAACTCCAGCTCGGAGATGTCGTCTCTGCTAAAGTTGTGCAGAAAACCGAGGACGATGTGTTTGTCGAGTTAACTGACAACTCTCTGAAGGCTATGTTATCTGTATGGCATCTGGCCGATCGACCCAACAAATGCCAATCTGCCTTAAAACACATCCGCGTTGGACAGACCCTCAACGATCTCGTTGTCCTAGAGAAGAATGAAGGTCGTCGATACATAGCGTTATCGAAGAAGCCTAGCTTCGCTAAGGCGAATAAGGATGGAAAGCTTCTCACATCCTTAGAAGGAGCTAAAGTCGGTGACCTTCGGCAAGGTTTCGTAAGAAATATTACCGCCACGGCTGCCTTCGTGCAGTTCTGTGGTCAGCTCACTGCCTTGCTACCCAAGTCAAAATTGCCCCAGGAAGATCAAAAGAAGACAGACTTTGGACTAGAAAAATACCAACCAATACTTGTTAAGATTGATTCTGTGGACAGAGATCGTGGCAGGATTGTTGCTGCTTCCCCCTTGCTTGAAGATGATGAGGGCCCGAAGAACGACACCTCCACCGTATCGAACAAGATTGAGAACCCGGTGGACGAGAGTATTTCCTCGACTGATGATATATTCATAGGCAAAATTGGCAAGGCCAAAATCACATCGGTTAAGAATACGCAACTCAACGTTAAGCTTTCCGACGACATACAAGGCCGTGTTGATGTTTCCCAAGCATTCGACTCCTGGGACAAGATTTCAAACCCGAAGTCCCCATTGAGTACATTTCGAGTGAACAGCACAATTACAGTTCGAATTTTGGGTGTCCACGATGCCAGAAATCATCGCTTCTTACCCATATCGCACCGATCAACTCACTCGGTCCTTGAGCTGTCTGCAAGACCGAGCGACTTAAAGAAAGACGCTCCGGAGGTTTTATCATATGATAAATTAAAGCCTGGCTCTACTCATGTGGGCTTCGTCAATAATGTTGATAATAATTCCCTTTGGGTAACTCTCTCGCCTAATGTGCGAGGCAGGATCAACACCCTAGAGATATCAGACGACGTTTCTCAACTCGAGAATCTAGCTTCGAGCTTCCCGATCGGGTCCGCGTTAAAAGTTCATGTTCTCACAGTTAATGCAGCCGAAGGCCGTCTCGATCTCTCAGCACGTTCTGCAGGCTCATCAGCAAATCTCACTTGGGAAACAGTCAAACAGAACATGGTTCTTCCCGGTCGGATTACAAAGATTAACGAACGGCAGATCATCGTGCAACTCAGCGATGTTGTCTCTGGTCCTGTGCATTTAATAGACGTTAGCGATGATTACGGCGAAGCAAACACGCTTTCTTACAATAAGAATGACATTACCAGAGTTTCAGTTGTCGAAGTTGATAAGAGCAACAAGAAAATCCGGCTCTCGACCCGTCCTTCGAGGGTGTTAAATTCTTCTTTGCCTATTAAAGACCGCGAAGTCACCAAAGCATCTCAAGTTAGTGTCGGTGATATTGTTAGAGGATTCGTGAAGAATGTCTCCGACAAGGGCTTATTCGTGAGTCTCGGCGGAAATGTAACAGCAATGGTCAGGATCTCGGATCTTTCAGATAGATACCTCAAGGACTGGAAGGATGAGTATCAGATTGACCAGCTTGTCAAGGGCCGAATAATCTCAGTAGATTCCGACACAGGCCATATACAGATGAGCCTCAAGGCTTCAGTCGTTGACAAAGATTTTGTTCCGCTCATCAATTATTCAGACCTCCGTGAAGGCCAAATAATCACGGGCAAGGTCCGAAAAGTGGAAGAATTCGGCGCATTCATTGTCATCGAAGGCTCTGCGAATGTTAGCGGGTTATGTCACCGTAGCGAGATGGCTGAAAAGGCTGTCCAGGATGCACGAAAGCTCTTTGCCGAGGGCGACATAGTCAAGGCAATCATCCTAAA